ACAGACAGGACAGACAGGACAGACAGGACAGACAGACAGGACAGACAGACAGGACAGACAGACAGACAGACAGACAGACAGACAGACAGACAGACAGACAGACAGACAGACAGACAGACAGACAGACAGACAGACAGACAGACAGACAGACAGACAGACAGACAGACAGACAGACAGACAGACAGACAGACAGACAGACAGACAGACAGACAGACAGACAGACAGACAGACAGACAGACAGACAGACAGACAGACAGACAGACAGACATACACATATATATATATATATGCATATATACATACCAGAGAGGGAGACTGGGCATGGAGAGGCTTGGGGGGATGGGGAGGATGGGGAGCAGAGGGAGGGAGAGAGGACGACAGAACACACAAGGGAGACAAGGGAGAGAGGCAGAAGGAGAAAAGGGAGAGGACAATGTCGGCGGACTGAGCCGCTCTCAAGATGCACATCGCCGTGACTCGGTAAATGCTTGCTGTGTCACTCAGCCCGATGGCACTGGACTTTGTTCCACTTGGGCAGCGCGATTCAGGGGGCAGGTCCCATTTAAGAGCTGGGTCGAGCTTTAGCCCTTGGTTCCCAAGCTCCCAAGGTGCCATTGTTGGTACATGTTTTGGAGCCACTGCCCAATGGACCGAACAGGTGACGTGCCACGCTAAGGCGAAAAATCGGACACCCCAGCCATGGAATTTGGACAAAGGCAGCATCAAAACCCGACCTTTTGCGACTCCCAGCCCCCTTCTGCCTGGGAGAAGAAAAGATCTCTTTCGGGGGGGGGGGGGGGGGGGGGGGGGGGGGGAAAAAAAGAAAAACTTCTGCCCTCGGACCCCCAACATGATTCTTCAGACCCCCTTCATTTTTGGTGCCGCCAATCCCGGGTTTTGTGGCATCGATTCACATCGAAAAGGCGCCGAGAGGTCGTCCAGGATCTGCTTGATGCCCGGGAAGGCCTCCCCCGCGGTTTTCGCCTCGCAAAAGCCGGGGCAAAAGGCAGCAGTTGAGCGGAGGGAACCCCAAAAACTCCTTAGATGCCCGGTGGCCATGGAAAAGAAAGGAAGGGCACCCTTTCTTGTTGGTTGAGTTTGAAGGGGGTTCCTTACCCAAAGAAAAGGAGAAAAAAAGGCACCACTGGGCAACAGAGACTTAATTTATGGACAGCTCTGACTGCTCCAACCCGGCGTTTTGCATGGAGGCGTCCCGCGAAAGGAGGTGTAAGCAGGAGACCATTCAAAGGGAAAGAATGGTATGGGTGTCAACCCAAACGAAGTGGCCCCTTCAAACGCACAAGTGGCTTGGAATCCGCTGCCTTGGAGAGGTACATGGACAGCGTCTCCAGCGCCGACTGGGCCTCAAGAGTCGGCTACATGGGCGCTAAACAAACAAAGGCGGGACCGACCTGAATGCAAACCAACACACATCAGCTACGGCTTCACCATATCGCTTTAAGACTCTAAAACCCCAGAGCCTGCATTATGCAGGTAGTATAATACAAACCAATGGAAACACAATGAATTTCCTACCCTTGAAAAGGCGTTTCAATGGTGGGTAGACATTTGGTCCCAAGCAGTTCACCATAGGAATAACCCTGGTGGTTTGACTGCCTTCCAAGAATCACTCGGTGAATACAGTACAAACAAAAAGCGGGTGAGATCCCAAAAGAAGGAAGCGCTCTCAAAGAGCCTTTTGTGGTCCTTGAGTGAGGCTTTCAGATGCACTTGTTGTAGGGAATAGTTGGAAGATCCATTCCACGTCCAAAGCACTTGGATATGGTTGTTGCTTTTGCGGACCCTGACCAGTGGTAAACCAAATGATCCAAGCAGGAAGCCCACAATTGGGAACGACAATTTGACAAACCAACATCAAGAAGCAGCAAGCACCGTCTGGACCAAACACAATTCAAATACGGAATCCCCCTAAAAAAGGAACCTGCGTGGCCTGCTCATTGTTCGCCAAATACAAAGCAGAGGGTGACATGTGTGTGTGTCGTTCTTTTTGGGGGGAACCCACAAAACAGTCCAATGGTGGTTTTCCTCTGGGTTTCCAACGAAAAGACCAGCCAGATCCACTTCAACTCACGAGCCAAAGAGCATCATCGTAGTGCTTGTCGAAGTCCAGGCCGCTGAAGAGCAGGCGCACGTCCTACGCTTGGGCCCAGCCACTGTCTCACGGAGCGTGGGTCGATTGAACATCCAAAGAGAGAAAACGGTGAGAAAATGACTCCTGGTTTGGCCGATGTGCTGTGGCGACTGCAGGGTCCCAACAGGAGAACTCCAAAAGTCACCGGACTCACGAAATCCTCAGAATCCATGAGCACATGCTCTATGCGTGTTTGTGTGTGCGTGCACATTTAGCACCTCAGAGGTGCACGCATAAAACTCTTAATCTACAGGAGAAGCTAAACTTCCGTGTCTCGGCCCTTGCCCTTGTAAATCGCAGGAATTCTCTAATTTGCAAACTGACTTCGAAAGAGAACCCAGAAACGACCACAGACTGCTGGACTTGTTGACCAAACCTATCACTTTTTTGGCCCTTGCCCGTGTAGAGGGATAGAATCTAGAAAGCGAAACCGACGGGGACCAAACTGAGTTTCTGCCCTTCTGGTTTGGCGATTCGCAGCAAGCCTCTTTGTCTTTGTACCTTGTCAGAAAACTTCATAGACAAACCTCAAGCCACACCTTTCCCTTGTATGGCCAGAAAACGACAAAGAAGGCCAAATAAGGATCTGCACATGGGCATTACCTGATGTGTGTGGTGGCTTTGTCTGGGGACACCCCACCCAGAAACGCAAGGATCTCTCAACTAGGACCAGACACTTCAAATCGGCTGAAAAACCACTTGAGTTTCCGTCAGTCACTTCAAATCGGCTGAAACACCACTCAGTCGTCCTTGCCCTTGTAGAGGGACGGCAGGTTCTTCTGGATCTCCGCCTTCTTGGCGTCGCTGGGGGCGGTGCTGGTCCGGAAGTACTCCAGCACCGCGCCCTGGGACCACACCAGGCACTTGCCCTTCGGCACCTTCTCGGAGTCGCCGATCTTGCAGTCCTCCAGTCTTGGGGGGATTTTTCCCATATGGCCATGGGTCAAAATCCAAATCATACCCCCAGTGAACATCCCAATCCCCACTAAAATAGACCAAGATGGGTGGTGCACTTATCCCAAAATGGTACCATTGGTTTTGAACCATGGCCATATGGCTTGGTACCGTTGGTTTGCCGGTTGCTTGCGTCTTTTTTTTCAAATAAGCCAAGGGGAATGCCAAGGCTTGTTGCTTTTGCGTGGGAAAATAAGACAAGCAGAAATGCGTTGGTTGCAGTCTAGTCCTCAAAAAGTTAATGAAGGATCCCCCCTGTCAGAAGCGGAAGGCTGACAAGCGCCCAAGAAAAAACTAAGGGGAAACCAGAGGTTGCTGCTGTCCAAAGGGATCTTGTTCTTTGGAGTTGGATTTTCGGTTGGTTGTTAAAATAAGAACAGTGGTTGCGTGAGAAGAAATACACCAAGATTGATGCTATGATTGTTGGTTGGTGTCAAAATAGACCAAGACACCCAAGGTTGCAGTCCTCCAAACAGTGGACTGTTTGGCAAAGGCAGGTTGGGATGCTGCTGGGTTCACCCACACAACATGGATCACAGAGGCACACTGCTCACGTTCAACCCACTTCGTAAGCGGGCCATAGCCATGGATCTTTCAAGCCAGCCACTCCCAGTTGTCCCAATAACCATGGTCCCATTCACTAAGGGTCGGGCTTGAAAGAACAAATGCCTGATAAAGAGCGCAGAAACCTTGAGGGGGAACTTGATGTTTAGGCGGGGACTTGTTTGGCCTGTAGAATCAGTTGTAGCACCTGAGGGACAGGGGTTGGTGGCGCTTTCATTTCGAGGCAAACACGTTTCCTGGCGTTGGGCAACAGAAAGGCCGAAGATGTGTTGGAAAACGAGACGCTTACACTCACTTCAGGTTGCGGACGGGGAGGTTTTCCCAAGCACCTGGAGATCAGAGAATGAGTTGCCTAAAAACGGTTGACAAAGGGGGACACAGCAGAGGTGTTGTTGTAGTGCATGCCGTCTGGTCTCTTCTATTTCTTGGAAAACAAGGGCCCTCTCTGAGGGGTTCTTCAAATTTCTCGGCTCCTCCCTTGTCTTCATGGTGCCTCGTGTTAGTCTGCCGCCTGGGATTGCGCTGATGAAGGCGAACTCGCCTGGGGGTAAAACGACACCATCGTACAGATCCTTTACTTGGGGGATCGTTTTGGAATTAGTGGCAAATGTCCGTGATACGAAAAGGAATGCCCGTGAGATGGGAAAACCCTTCTTAGAAGGGCGATATTCCGGTGAACACAACGCGTTTACCTGGAAGCGGGTCCCATAAATTATGCGGATAAATCCCTACTTTCCACCACGTATGAGTCATGTTCCCGGAGGCTTCCAAAACCTTCCGCGTTCACAAAACAGACCGCTAACTCGCAGGGGTGTCGGCGTATGTTTTGTTTCAACAAAAGACCTTGTTGAAAATGGCACCCAAAAAGAAGCCTTGTTTAATGGAAAAAAGGCGAAAGCAAATCTTCGGGAACCCTGTCGCACTCTGCCGATTAACGAAAAGCGTTCCGGCTGCCCATGTTGTTCCTCAGAGGGCCACCTGGCCAGGTTTCAAGGGAGCCCCAATGTCAACCCCAGACTCATCAATGTGCAAGGCAGTCTCAGCAGGAGCTCCAAAAACACCACCTTCCGATCAGGTGGGTGCGGCTATTGTTGGGAGCGCCCCTTGTAACGGAACAAAAGACAGCAACGAAGAGTGGGGGGAGGGATCCCACAAATAGTTATGATTGATGTTATGATTGTTGGCTGGTGTCAAGAATAGACAAAGAAACTCATTGCAGTCCTTCCTTTGGGGGGATCCCCTTATTTTGAGACAAACCCACAGCCCCTTTAAACACAGCTGACCGTGTCACACGGACGAGGCTCAGCGAAAGGAACGAAAGGAGACAAACCCGGGTCAACAAGTCAGTCTCCTGCTTCAACATGAGGTCGGGCCCTAGGATGCTCTTCACCTTCTCCAGGTCGGAAATGCAGGAGCACAGCACCACCTTGATGTTCTCCTTTTTCACCGCCTGCCCGCCCGGCGCGCTTTGCACCGCTAACGCGCCCAGAGCTTTCTGTCCGGGCCCAAGACATTGGAGAAGCAAAGTTTAGTGTCCTCAAGTTGTTGTTTTTTCGTCCCCCTAAAAAAACATATCCAGAAGTGATAGATTCCCGTTACAACCAACAGAGGGAACAAACACATATTAATGTCAGCCAACAAATATTCTGAACCAAATGGCAGGTGTCAGTGCCCTCAAAAGAGATCCAGCTAGTGTCGACCGCATATTAATCAGCTCCAGCTAAATTAATAGGCGGGTGCCTGATGGGTGGCTGGGATGTGGATGGATGGGTGGTCTCTGATCCTTGAACAGTTCCGCCTCCTCAAGCTGCTTTTGGGCCACCTCCGCGTGGTGGTGCGCCTCCTGAGAATTGAAAAACAAAGAACGGGTGCAAAATCACATGGGACCAAATCAAAACGGGCCCGATCCCAAAAAGGAGATGTCTCCAAACAATGGGCGGTTTTGGGGGGTCCATATCAATCTCCTTAAATCAGTGGAAATCCAAGCCCGGCTTTGGCTTTTCGGCTTTCCCCAAAAAAATCTGCGCCCGGGATGTCAAGGGTATGAGTTACATATAGCTCCTTTTCAAATGGCAGCCAATCGGAAACCATTTTGTTGGTTGACACCGGAACCCCAAATAACCCATTTTTTGTGAATCTTCTTGGCCAAAAGAAATGAGGATTTGTCGACAGGATCACGAGCGAATGGCTGTTCGCACAGCAGGGACTCATTCCTGCCCCACACCTTGCGGGTTCCTTTGCATGTTCTTTGAAACATGACCCTGCAAGAACGAAGCTCGAGCAAACCCGTTTGTGTGCTGAGACGAGGGTGCTCACAAAGGGTGTGTCAAAAGAGCAAGATGTGCATACATGAAACATGGAACACTTGGCAACATGTTGCCCCCATTTACTTCCAAGCCTGAGGTGAGCAACCAGTTAGAGAGGCTTCTAAAGGACCGGCCTGGCATGCAAGAAGATAATCCAAACCCGCGAACTCAGACATAATCTAGTGCCACTTTCAGACTGAGTAGGGACAAGCCATCTATGCAGAAGGTCTTCCATGGAGCAAAAGCCACCCAGTCCCACGCTTGAAGCAACTACTACTCCTTCCCCCCTCCCAATAATAAAACAATAAAAATATACAGATATATTAAAAAAAATGAACAAAGGTCGGTGAGATTGGGCCACCTTCTTCAGCGTCAGGGGGGAACAGCACGCTTACTGTTTGCTTTGCACAATTCAATAGAACCTCACAAGTCATGGAAGGTGCGCTCGCGGAAAATGACGAATCCCCAAGCAAGGGATCTTCCTGGGGAGCTTGTTTTACCCTGGATCGCTGAGCTCGTATAGTGTGCTCAGGTATCTGTTGAACACTGATCGCCTCAACTCCTCAACTCATAGACCAGTTCACATCCATACAGAAGTTCCGTCCAGTTCTGATCAGTCACCAGCACGGCTCCATGAGGGTTCTCCGCAAGGCCCGGTCCTTCACCCGCCGCTCCCAGAACTTCTCCGCGCTCTCGTACATGCGCCCAATGTCTGCCACCTTTGAGCACAGGAGTCCTCTTAGGGGAAATAGATGGATTTCCCTGGTGGATAATCAAACCAGGTAAACCAGGAATCGCCCTCTGATTTTCGAGCAAAACAACCAAAAAGGACACCTCCCAAACTAAAGAGGGTCCTGGAAGATCATGTTCTTCTGGAACACCTTCTGGTGGGCTCATGTTAGCCAAGGGAGGGTGAGGAAGATGTCACAAATCATGACAATTTGGCTCTTTGGTTCGTAGTTTTTCTGTGTTTCCTTATAACGCAGGATTGGCGTGGACATTGCGCATGCGTTCTGGTTGGTAGGCCCCTCTTTAGATGGGAAGTCAGACGTGGATTCCAAAAGGAGGGGAGACCCCTGACAGGCTTGGGCCAACCCCTTGCTTGAACACGCTCAACACGTTGTGTGCTCAACCTTCCCTTGAGAACCCTTCAAACGAAAGCCATCAACCTGGGCTTTGCTTGGGGTGACACTAGTTTCAGTTTTCGTTCGGGTTTGGGATTTTCGGGGGCTTGGCGAGAGAACCACACACGTCGCAGCCCTCGCGGGCCAAGGCGCCAGCGCCTGAACCTTGCGTTGCTGCACTCGGTCCACCTAAGGCGAGGCGAGGCTTGGAGCCAAGGGGACTGTTCGGTTTTAGTCCATGTTTCCAAATACCAGGGCACCATTTTGAGCACCGGTTTTTGACCCACACCCAGGTTAACACCACACTCCTCGTGTGCCCCCCCCCCCCAACCCCCCCCACCCCACCCCCCTCCACATCCGCTCCGTTCGCCTGCCAGCACCGCACGATCCAGAACATGGACAGCTGCCGGTCCGCCAGGTTCTCGTCGGAGGCCGGCTTGAAGCTCGAGAAGAACTTCACCTCACAGGCGAAGCTGTATCCCGTATACCCTTCTTGGTGCTGGGTAAAGAAAAAGGCGACCAAAGAGAAATAAACACCGCGCTTTTCCACCAAGAGCCACCAGGTACTCTTCTTTGGGCGGGGTAAAAAAAAGGCGACCAAACAGGAAAAGCATATTTTCCACCAAGAGCCACCAAAACCATATTCAAACCATATTAAGCCACCAGTAAAAGGTGTCCAGAACAGGGGACTGTGGGAGTGTATGTGGCCACGCTTCTTGATGAAAATTGCAGTGTGTTCTGGTGCTCCCTAGCTATTGCTGTGCCTCTGTGTACTCATCGATACTAGTAGTCTAAAACCGAACAAACCACGGAACCAGAACCCAAAAACAAAGAAAAGCCAAAAGAACAAAATAAACCCCTTGAGAAAACCACAAGAACCAAAAACAATAAACAAAAAAACAATCCTCAAACACTCTTTCAAGAAGTAGTCACTCACCTCTGAAAGAATGTGCTTTTGGAGCGTATTGCTTGTTTGGTCTTGTTGTGCGTGCGTGTGGCTTTCTCGAGTTGTTCGTGGTTTTAGGGCTCAGGGCTGGTTTGAGCCAGTGTTAAAGACTGTACCACGGGTTTCCAGCTTTAGTGCCATGGTTTCGATTGTGACCATGCGTTTCACCTCAAACGGAGATGTTTCTGCCAGCTGAAGTTTCGCAACCTGACAAGGCGACCGTAAGCTGTTCCCCCTCAGGTAGAAGTTTCTCATGGCTTACCCCTTTCTGTTGGGATTCAAAGGGAGACCAAAGGAAGACGTTGCCATTTTAGGAAATTGACCGATTCATATTTTGAGGCCCCTCATGATGTTTGTTTCACAATAGAGGAACCCCCAGGAAGTGACAACATAATTTTGCAACAGGCAGGCTTTCGCGGATCGCTCCGAACCTTTGGCCAGACAAAGGCTGCTTTAGTCTGGCAATGGAACGGCAGGTACATCCGAAGGAATGCCGAACTTGCTTCTCTCCATCCGAAGCAGATCCCACAAAAACCCAGGGTGGCAACTCATCAAAAGGAGCCAGCAAAGCAAAAAGAAGCATCAGATCAACTGAGCAGACATGGGTGCCATGTTCCAATTGTCCAACTCCAAACTTGGATCAATTCAAAATCAATCATTTCTCTAAACAAAATGGCCGAACCAAGCTGCCTGAACTCAGAACCCCGAATGCAAGTGCCCTTTCAGGATGGCGTTTTGGGGGGTTAAACGGCATCAAAGTCCTGGAAGTTGCTTAGACCCGGGCGCGAAGGAACTTCTCGCTTCTCTTCCGTTTGAAATCCATCTTCGAGATGTCTGCCGTGAATCCATTTCTCTAAGGGTTGACATTTCCCCCGGGTTTTGGGCGGTTTTCTAGAAAGCAGGATCCCTGAAAAAAATGGGGAAGCTACCCCTAGAATTTCACCAACATCCTCGCCCCTGCGGTGCTCTCTTTCCCAGGCGCCAGCTGATCCGGCATCTTCAAGCTGTCGTCCCCGTCCGACTTGGCTTCGCTGGGGTCCCACTGCTTCATCAGCACCTGGACATCCGAGCCGGAAATAAGGCAAAGCCCCCAGCACAAGGACCTTCATCCTCGGTTGCTTTCTGCTCCCCTGCCAAAAGTTTTTAACTTTTAGTGGTTTAATGGAAAACCCATGAGTTGGCAAAAAGTGAAAAGTCCTAACATCCCTTGGCAAAATGCCCCAAAGCATCAGGGATGAATGAGCTTGTTTTACCCCAAAAACAGAGTCCCAAAAATGATAACAAGATTAATTTATCCCTGCGGGCTCCATGAGGAACATCGGGGGCTTGCGGACTGAGAAAGGAAACGCCCGAGTGTCCTGCCGCTGTTTCTGCTGTGGCGGAAATAATTTGCTTCCCAGATATAAAATATGTCCCCCCATTTCCCCCCCCCCCCCCCCCAGCCCCTAGGGTTCAACCCCCCTAAAAAAAGAATGGCAAGAACCAAGTTTGGATCACCATCCTCAGGTGCACAATGACCTATGAGCCCAATCTGCATGGTGCCTGAGCCCGGCCACCTAGACGGCCCCGCGCCGGAAGGCGGCGTTTCCGGACACCGAAGTTTGCCTCCCCCAAGCTTTGAGGCGCGAGCTGCCCCCGAACACCTGAGGATCTGGAGTCCGGGAAAGCCCGGCTGGGGGAGGCAGACAAAACGGAAGGCCTTGTCAGGAGAGACTCTGGGAACCTTGTGAGACGTAAAAAAAAAGAAAAAACTATCTCGCTGCAGAGGATTGGCCCAAAAACCAAGCTTGCTACTGAAAACGGGCTTTCAGGTGAAAGCTCCAGGAACTCAGGAAGCGAGCGCTGAGATCCTTTCGGTTGTCCAAAGCCTCGCCTTCACCGCGTCCTCCGCCAACTCGAGCTCCACATTGGGGCGGAAGAGGGCGCGAAGCACCTCCGGCATGTCCTCCAAAGCCGGCGACAGGAGGAGCAACAGCTGGGCTTGGGTGTGTGTGCGTGTGTGCGTGTGTGTGTGTGTGTGTCAAAAGTACGGCAAAAGTGGTGGTCTTCGTTTTGGCTTCCCTTTAAACCCCACCTTCAAAAGTACCCCCTTAAAAAAAGAAAAAGAAACATACTTGGATCTTTGACCAAATTCGTAGGTGGGCTAGCTGACTCATACTTATAACCAAGCATACAGCCCGGGCTCTAAGTAGGTTGAACATCCAAGTAGGGATCCACTCCTCCAAACAGAGCGAACATGAGGACAACCACAGAAATAATAATAATAATAGTAAATAATAAAAATAAATAATAATAAGAGCAAAAAGTGATGTCCATTTCAGACTTGCAAACCCCAGATCAATCAATGGCGAGTGTCTTTGAACGCCGGGCATCATCTATTTCGAGGGGCCCTGGTGAGAACGCCCTTGACTAGTCCAACCCCCAAAGTGCCGCTGCAGGCACAAACCTCCTGCAAATTTGTATGGAATATCAAGTTTGATTGTTTTTTCCTTTCTTTTTCCGCTGCCCTAAGAAGATAGCCATCTCATACCACGCCGCACGACTTCTCCCAGCGCACAGCCGCTCACTCCTCCTTGACCAGCCGCGGCAAGGTGCGCCAGGTGTTGGTCAGGACCTGAGTCTATCAGCCCGTCACTGCCCAAAGGACCTGCTGGTGCGGGAATGACCGAGCCCGGGTGTTGGGAATGAACCCAGGGGTCCCCTTAAAGGCAACAACTCCAGGGATGGTTCATGTTCATAGGGGTCGTTCCCTCATTCCCGGCTGAGAACCAGCAAGGTGAAATGTTTTCCAGTTCCCATGCCCTGCGTCAAGAGGTCCGTATGCCCCATCTCCCAACCATGTCTGGTTACGATTAAATCAAGATGGGTTGGGCGATTCAACCCCTTCTTTCTGCAGACCTTGTATCAATTCCCAAATCGGAAATCACAGATCAGGCAAAGGACCATAATCATGGTGAGCTCGTTTTAACCTCCAGACTCCAGCTCCCAAAACATAGGCAGTAGCTCGAATTGGCAAGAAACCAGCCTGGATAAATAAGAAGGCGCAAGCCAACAAACAACAATAAAATGGCCCCTGGGCTTTTCTTGACAAGAGCGCCTTTCAACTCAACATGTTGCTCAACCTTGTCAAGGAGCACTCTGGGTGTGTCATGTGAATGGCGCCCAACTGGCGAGCAAAGAAAAAGGGAGTGTCTCATGCGTGTTCCGTGACACCAGAACCATTGAAAGGGCAAGTGGTTGATTCGCTCTCTTCCCACAGGGGTTTGCGATCCTTCTTACAACATTCATCTAAAAGTGAAATGTAGGGACCCCTATACTACTGCCTTTGAAGCAACACACACCCAAAGGAAGACACCCTCAGAAGACAAGTTGAAGCCGCCCAAACGGGCACCAAGAGGTGTCTAAAATGTCCCAAAAAGTACGCGGGTGCCTTCCCGGAGGATCCAACTTCGCCCCCCGTGCTTCAGGATTCGGTGCTCGCAGCCCGAGGCGGGATGTCCCTTTTGGCTCCCAAATAGAAAGGCATAAGACTAACATGAGCGGCATCGCATCGCACTTCTGTGAAGTCCAGGCGCTGTCCTTTCAAGCTTACATTGGCAAGCCTTACCTCCAAGGGCTCTTAAATATAATACATGTATGTGTACCCAGATATATATATATATATACATATATATATATATATATACATATATGTATCAATTAAACACCAATCAGCCCACCAAAATGAATCACATCCCCGCCTCCAGCTGATGGATTAGAACCTCGGACGGCAGGAAGGAGCCCGACCAATTGACCAGGGTTCCCGAAATATTTCCCCATGGCCCATGAAGTTTCAATTACTGTTTGGGCCCAAAGATTTGGTTCTCCTGAGAAGGATGTCAGCAAGGAAAACCTCTGGACGTGTGCATGGTACCCTGGGCATACACAGCGTCCTGGATTTCCGACTCCCGCTTCTTGTTATGACACATGAGAATCTGTGATACCATCCTCGTCTGCGAGAAAACCTTTGAAGACGGGATCCAAGGACGTGGGGTTTGCCGGATGGCCGTTGGTGTTTTTCCCAACCAGCCGCGCGGGGCCCCGCCGCTACTTTGTGCATAATCCCACACACACACACACACACACACACACACACACGCGCTCGCCTCGTCAAAATCATCCACTTGAAGTGGGACACCAAAAACTGGACACCCAAAAAACTGGAACTAAAGCTGGACACCGAAAACTACCAAAACAAAACTTGAAAAACTGGGAACACCCTTGAATCACAATCAAACCGTGCAGAGCAACTTTCAATGGCCCACGGGTTTCCGGCGACGCTCTTGAGTCGTAATAAAGCAGTCTACCCAAAGCCACGTAAACGATCAAAAGGCCGGATACCCGCCTCTATCTGGGTGTGTCGTTGTTGTGGGTACCACTACCTTTTGGGTGGTTTTCAAAGGAAACCAAAACGAAACACCCATGTTGGGGGTCCCCTAAAAATAGACACAACCATTTATGATTGGCACAAACCCTTAGAAAAGCCCAACCGAAGCCAACCAACCCATCCCCGCCTCTCCCCCACCTCCCCCCTCCCCGAAACGCCTCGTCCCTGAGCTCCGCGTTGGCCCTGCCGGGGAAGAACTCGCAGAGCCGCGGCTCCGGCAGCGGGTCGAAGCGCCGGTGGAGCTCCACGCAGCGCGCCGCGAAGTCGTCGTGGTGCAGACCGAAGCCCGCGGAGGTCAGCGACTCGGGGAAGCTTCGGCGCGACGCGCCGCGACGCGCCGGTGGCGCCGGTGGGGATGGGGGCGGGTTTCGTTTAAAACCGCCTCCAAATGAAAGGGCCGAGAAACCAAAGGGTGACCACGTCCAATGGGTTGGTTTGCTTTGTTTGGGTGGGTGTTTTGTTTGTTGTGTTGTGTTTTGAGCGGGGGCCCAAACAATGAAAGGGCTCCAAACCTAAAACCACGAAACAGGAACCCTCCAAAACAGGATCTCGTATGCTTTAGGCTAACCTAAGGGTTGCATTTCAGCCAGGGAATGAAAATATGAGGTACACAAACCAAAAAAAAATCATGTAGATTATGGTGCCTATGTTAGACTACCCCAAGATGCAAAATAATGTTGGAGAGGATTTCAGGTAAAAAAAATGGCCCAACAACCCCGGAGAGTGCTCGTTCCCAACAGACTGGTCTGTTCTGCCACTTCAATGCATGAACAAAAACAAACATACTAAGCGGACTTAACATCCAAGCAAGGGTTCTAAAACATCACTGCCAAGTCTTACAAGCCCAAAAGGTGATGTCGGAGAGAAAATGAGAGCCCTGAGCCTTCCACCCCCCTGCCCCCCACTTGACCGCATCTCCGCTCCCGATTCTGCCTCTACCACCTCGCACTTGCCGCGGAAGAGGAAGGTTCGGCTCAGGACCGCCTGGGGTGAGTCCAACCAACTTGGAAAATTGCAACCCGAAATCCGCGGCACAAGTTATTGGCCCGAAAAGAGGCTTTGGTCAAATGCCGGACAATGCATCACTTCCAGATTTCCAGCCATGCTTTTATCAATCTGGCAACAAACAACCATTTTGGTAAATTGCAAGCCTAGAACATCAAAATTACAAGAACCCTCTTTACTACAAATTACCACGAAGTGGTTGGTCATTCACAAATTGCAAGGGGGTTGTCCTTGGATACGGCTGGTTAAAGTTCACTTGGCTTCTCGTCGTCTGACGTACGGCCAAACCCTTGGCCTCTTTGAGGTTCTCGAAGTCCCCCTGCTCCACGCACGCCTACGAGTCAGCTCGCAAAACGCGTGCGAGTCGCTCGCGAGATGGCGGGGTGCAACAGGTAGTTGGGGCCCCAACTTGGCGTTGAGTCTTCAACATCAGGCTCCAATTTCACTTGAATCGGCCTCAAGGGGCTTGTTCCCAAGAGGTGGGCCTAGTTTGATCTCCTCAAAAAGTTCCTGGCCAGCGTTCCAAGCATTCCAAAGTGGCGTTCTCCAAATCATTTCCTCAGGTCAGTGTTTGTCATGGGCGCAGAAATGACATTTAAATGGGACAATTGAAAATACATCGGACAGAAAGGCAGCCAGTTCCTATGCAACAAGAGTTGTCTCTAGCCTGCCGGAGCGTGACAGAAACTGTGCGCGTGCGGATTCTGAGAGATGGAGGCTGGAACTTCTTGACTCCGACCAAACAATCATTTGCAGGGCTGTGGTTGAAATGGAATCCACTTCTGTGATACAACAAAAATGGCTTCCCAAAGACAAACCTGCCACAAGGGGGAGATTCCAGCTTGTATCACAGTGGGGATAAAGCCTTTACTTTGATCCCACAACCCTGATCATTCAGAGCAGTGTCAAGGGAAATCCCTGAGAAGGGGGAAAGGGGGTGCCCTTTGCTTAACCGGATTAGAAAAGCCCAACCCGGAGATCATTCAGCCAGGGATTAGACCATAGAAATCTGCAAAACGGGCACTGCTCAACTGAGCTGCAATCTAAAAGGGTCTACCCAAACCAATGTAAAGAGTCAAAGGGAATGTCCGCCCCTTCTGGTTGGGGCTGTCCCTTGCCACCCTCAGCCTGCCCGGGTTTTGGCCAACATGCTTGAGGCTTATGTGGACCTCAATACCAACCCCATAAAAACAGGTAGGAACCGAACCACCTCTTCAGGGGAGTCTGTTGGGCCGCTGACTGACTCAAAGAATTGCAAGAAGGGATGTGCTAGTGCGTCGCTTTGTTGAGGCTACCCCTTTTGGGGTTGGATTTGAGGGGAGCCAAAGGGGAACCGCCCGTTTTGGAGATAGAGAATCTTCGCTTTTCCCTCCCCCAACCTCCTCCCTGAAACTAGGCCAACCAGCAACCCGCCTGCTGGCCAGGCCTGTCAGCCCAGCCCACCCAGCCTCAGGCCCAAGCTTGTCTGAAACAAGCCTAGCCCAACCAGCAGCCCCCAGCAAGCCCAGCCCAGCCTGCCCAGCCCAGGCCCCGGCGCATCTCAGAGCATGCCAGCCACTAGGCCGGCCCCCAGCTCCCAGCCCAGCGTCTGAGACAGTATGGCAGCCTGAGACTAGCCTCAGCGTAGTCCGGCTGCCCGGCAGCCAGCAACCCACCATCGCCAGGCCCAGCCCAACCAGCAACCCACCTCAGCCCAGCCTGCCCAGCGCAGGAGGCCCCGGCGCATCTCAGGGCACGCCAGCCACCCAGCTCCCAGCCCACCAGCAGGCTCAGCCCAGCGTGCCAAGGTCAGGTTTGTCAAACGTGTCTGAGACTGGCCTCAGGCCAACGACCAGTCTCTCCGCCAGCTACTAGCCTGTCTGACGTCCCCCAGCCCCTCAGTGCCCAAGCAGGCTGGCCAGGCCTTGACCTCCTGCTCGCGTCTGGCCCCAAGTCATCCAGCAGGCCCATCCCCTTCAGCGCACTGAGACTGGTCTCAACGTATGCCAGCCTGAGACTAGCCTCAGGCCCAGTCCCTCAGCCCGCCTGCTGGCGTGTCTTACGTGTCTGCGACTGGCCTCAGGCCCAGCCCAGCAACTCCAGCCTCAGGCCCAAGTGTGTATGAAACAGGCCTTGCCCATCCAGCAACCCCAGCCCAGCCCGCCCAGGCGCAACCAGCAGCGTAGTCCGGCTGCCCGCAGCCAGCAACCCACCCATGGCTTCGCAGCCTCGTGGCTGAGACAGCAGGCTCAGCCCAGCGTGCCAGGTCAGGTTTGTCTAACGTGTCTGAGACTGGCCTCAGGCCAACGACCAGTCTCACGTGTCTGAGACTGGTCTCAAGCTACGCCAGCTACTAAGCCTGTCTGACGTGCCCCAGCCCCAAGCAGCTCAGCCCAGGCTGGCCAGGCCTTGATCTCCTGCTCAGCCAGCAACTCGCTACCCAGCCTCAGGCCCAAGTGTGTATGAGACAGGCCTTGCCCATCCAGCGACCCGCCCAAGCACAGCTCAGCCCAGCCCGCCCAGCCGAAGTTCCAGGCGCACCAACAGCGTAGTCCGGCTGCCCAGCAGCCAGCAACTGAGACTAGCTTCAGGCCCAACCAGCAACCCGCCTAAGCAAACCTCACCCAAGCCCACCCTGTTTCCAGGCCTATCTAGGCCTCACCAGCCTGGGCTCAACTAGCGTCTAGCCCAGCGCAGTCCGCCTGCTGGCCAGGCCTGTCTGACGTGTCTGAAACTGGCCTCAGGCCAGCCCAGCCATAGCCCAGCCCACTCAGTGCGGCTGCCCAGCCCGCCGTAAACTAGCTTCAGGCCCAGCTCAACCAACAACCCACGCAAGCAAGGACCAGCCAAGCTGCCCGAGACTGTCCGAGCAGGACGGCTTCCGAACATCGAACTAGCACGGGCGAACTGGTGCGGTCACAAGCTTTCAGTAGGATTCGGACCTTCCCAACACTGGATTTCGGTGTTCCTGACCCTTCCCTCAAACTAGGCTGGGCCGAGGCGGGCAACGCGAAGCGTTTACAATTAACCCATTCTAGCACAAGGAGCCAAGGTGGGTTGGTCTCCAAAATGGGACCCACAAACTCCTCTAAAACCAGCCCCGAAAAGGGTAGCCCTCGAAAGGAAGAGATAGAGATAGAGATAGAGATAGATATAGACATAGAGATAGAGTTTAGTTAGAGTAAGTGAGTGAGAGAGCGAGAGATATAGAGAGAAAACACATTCTGACTCAGAGACAACCCACGCTTGTAAACAAGTGCTTCTCAAAATCAGGTGCCGCTCCGTTACTTTCCGCCGGGTCTCCATTTAAAAAAACATGTCCAAAAGAAAACCCGCTTCCCCGCTTCGCGCCGCACCCAACAGGACCCCTTTTGCCCCCCCCAACCCCGCCACCCATTTGGAGACACCACAACAAGGACACCGGACCCCAGGTGGGTCCCCATCCGACGCGCGCGCGCCCGATAGCCCGATGCGCGGCCCTGGCCTTAGCACCCTTGGTGATCTCCTGCCAGGTGGGCAGCAGGGTGGCGATGGGCTCCGTCTGCGCCACGGCGCGCTTCACGGTGTCGTTGCTCTCCTGTGACGTTGACCCAGGATTTTAAATACCCGTCCCCATTTTTAGGGGGGGGGTCCCTCCAAAAGTGGTCGGAATCCCCACTAAAAGGGAAAACCCCTCTATTTATCAACCAGGGCTTATTCATCCGGGGTCAACATTTGGAAGCGGGGGACCACCGGTGACCAAGGCTTGGCGCCTTGGAAACCAAAGGCAAACCGCTGAGAAGGCTGGTAGGAACAGGTGACCAAACTGGTTCACGAAACTCGGGCGAAGAAACTCGCCAAAGAAACCCTGGCAAACACGAAATGGGGTGAGGTGAGGGGATGTTCTCTTGATAGGGGTGTATCTTGGTGTTCCTGCCCAAGAAAGCATCCAGGGCTGTTTGCTAAACTTGTTGCAAGCAGACCTTAGTCCATTTTAGAGGGAGAGAAAAGTCCTTGCCCGAAAATGGGTGGTTGCATCTCGCAGCAAAATTTATGAAGCAAACCTTGGGCCCCCCGAAAAGCAGACGACCAGGTCCTCTTGCACCAGGCTTGGGCGATTTTTCAACCCCCTAAACCATGTCGACACTTTGTTTAAACAACATCGTGTTTGGTGTCCCTTGGAGCCCGAACAAGTTCCAACTTTTGAACCCTCAACAAAAACAACCGGCTAAAACTCGTGGTTTCATCTGGAACTTCCCCCCCTCTCCCAAAAAAAGAAAAATATGTCCATGTCGGAGTGTGAGAGGGTCAGCTGAAAAAGCATAATATGTACAGAAGCGAAAACATATGGCCATGGGTCAAAACCCTGTACCCCTGGTGAACATCAAAATAGGCCTTTTACATGGGTGTTCCACCCCTTCAAAGATTTGGAGGCATAGGTCCCGACAGCCATACATGGGTCCCCTCTGGGCCCGGTGTCTCCTCCGCCTTGGCGTGGGCCTTGCACCGGAAGGTGGCCACCGCCAGCTCGTCGTGCCTTGGATCAAGTCGAGTCCACGCGGCCCGCCCGGTTTTTGGGGGAGAACGGGCGGAAAAACCCGAGGAAAAACGCCCAGGGAGGGTCGGTGCCGAGACAAGGGGTTCTTGCGGAGCAATGGTATGGAAAGTCTTGGAGTCCTTCCTTTGAAGACCCTAAGTCTCAAGTTTAAGTGAAAGAGAAGGTTGGGAGGGCTGCCCAAGGGCGCGATGGAAGCAAGGCCGAACATTTCCTGGGTGCTTCCATGGAATCGGAAGCAAAACACAAACAAACGAACCTGAATGTGACCCCTTTGGACCATTGCCCTCCAACCCTCTCTCAGGCTCGATATTTGTTTTCTGGGACACACCAAGTAAACACGGCAAGCAATTCTAAGCTAAACCAATCACTGGGGGCGCACCCATTTGCTCCACTGTTGGGGCTCCATTTGGGGTATGTGAGGTCCTCAGAACCGAGGAGTGATGCAAGTCCATGGATCAAAAAATGAGGTGATAAGAGACACATTGGCACGGTTTACAAGCGCAACCTACGAAATGCTGAGCCCAAACGGAACTCAAAAGTGAGACTGGGCGACTTCAAATGATTCAGAGCCACGGCAGGGCAGCAAATAAGGTACGCCTTGGTCCGAACAAATCCCGTGTTGGTCACTATTTGCCATCTGATGGTAGGGGTTGATTCCGAACTCTATGTTCTTAACCCATCCTTCTCTTCAGGAACCACCCATTTCCCAGGGGATTGAGAATCATTGAAGAATGGGAATACAGCGGTCACTGTTAAGCTGCTATGGCTCCCCTCCCTATGGCTCCAAGACAGTTCGCTGGCGTGTCAATATTTGAGTGTTTGCTGTTTCAGGTCTCTTTCCACGGGAATCAAAGAAGCATCCACCGAGTTTGAAGTTTTGACACAAACCGTTCATACAATAGGAGACCCCTAGAACACAAATGCGTGCTTCCTTCCCTGGCAACACCAAACCCATTTGCCCCATGTACTACATATATACCCAAAAAAAGAGAACATATTCGGCTCGAGGCACTCGTCCGAGTCGATGAGCAGCTGCCGCATCTCTGCGGGGGAGCTGATCTTCTTTATGGTGCCGTCCGAGTCGATGAGCCTCAATCCGAGGCGCCGAGTCCGATGTGGTGGGGGGATTCCGGGAGGCTCTGATTTGGGAGTCTTCGAGCCAAGGGTTCTTTGTGCATCTGTCGAATTCATGAACCCCCCGGGAGAAAACAAATGCGAACAGGCTCATAAGCGCCGCCAATTTTCACGACGCTTCCTCGATTTGATTTCTCAACACAGAAAAGTAAGAACCCTCGCTTTTGAGCACGCTTGCGCGAGCACACCAACAACCGAAGAATCAAAGCAGCCATCCAGCCAGCCAGCCAGCCAGCTAACCAGTAACCCCACCTAATTCATTCCAGCAAATCTCCTTCTGTGGAACCCCGAAACAAGGGCTCCATCAATGCTGATGTGGGAGAATTGTCAACTTCGGATGAAAAATGAACCGCATTGATCAACAGGGGTTCCCTTGGAGTAAGGAAATCCTCTATTTTAGGTTCCTCCGATCTTTCTGTGAGGGTACCCCTGTTTTGGCGGCTTTCCAGGTACACTATTGGGGGGGGGAAATTTTCCCAAAAAGGACATGCCCACATGGGGCTTAGGCACGAGGTCCACCCCCAAGTTCCAATACAGCGGCTCCAACTGCAGAAGCTCGTCCCCCGGCTGCACCCCCGCGGCGCGCGTGGGGTGGGACTCCTCGGTAGTTTGCGATCGGTGCTAGAGATGCAGGGGCGCCTGAGAAATGGCATGACCCGGATATAGGCCATCCAACTGGTGGTTTCCTTTAAGGGGACCAAAGCCTCGGTTCGGTTCATTCCATTTCTCATTCCCTACCTATCGCACCAGCAAGTTGGGGTGAACGCCATTTCAAGCCAAGAACCTAGCGATGATTCTTCCAATTCCACTACTGATTCAGAGCACTTAGGGGCCGGGCTGGGCATGTCTTGTCTAGTGAGGGTTCCCTTCAATTGCCCGAAGCCCACCCCTGCCCCCCTCCCCCCAACCCAACCTACCCCACTGCCCCTGGAATAACACAGCCAGGCGTCATCGTCTTCATCATCCCAAGCCTCGATCAAGATGGGGTGGTTCATCTCCTCCTCCTAAGCTCCGCTCACTCGATGGACGGCCAACAGGCCCTTGGCAGCTTGGCACCTCCGATCTGACGCTGTCGTCCAGTTGGGTTGGCAAAATGGGCTCCGCTCTCTTTGCGTTCCCCTTTCAGGGCGGACGACCCCAGCTAGTTCTTGCAACCAAGGCTTACACAGGCCGTCAATCGCCGTCAATGAGAAGCCAGAACCCAACGCCCTTGGAACGGCTGCCTTTGTTGCGCCTCAAAACACCTTGAAAAATGCCCTGGTTGAGAATTCACAGGAAGCCGCGAACTGGGACCACATGGTGGCAAACTCGGTGCCACTGTTTGACGGGTCTATCTCAATCGTTGCTTCCCAATCCCTCTTTCGTTTGCTGATAGCGAAGTTTTTGACAGCCAGGTCGGCTGGCCAAAGAAAAAGCAAATTGAGAAACCGGCGCCGACGGATATGCGAGAAAGCTAGCCAAAACCTATTCGCAGATTAGAGTGAAATCTGGGGCCTAGAGTCTCACCAGAAACACCAAGGTAAGATGTCTGGCAGGGCCAGACCATACGGGTCTGAATTTTAATTCGTGGCCCTTTGCTGGACATCATTTACATGGGGATCCATGTCCACCAACCACTTGGGAGGGGGTTCCCTATCGCACTCCATGGCCATATGGGTATGGGTCAAAATTAAACCACCAGAAAAACCGCAGGTTTTGGTCCATGTTTCCACTTACCAGGGGTCCATTTTGGGGTTACCCTATTTTTGACCCACCGCCATATGTCTGAAGTGAAGCGGTGTCCTCCACAGCCAAGGGAAACCGCACGTCCATGGTCAGCTCTTCCAGGTCCTCAAACTCGATCCGGATGTCCTGCATACCGAGGCAACAAACTGAGTCATGGGGCGTACCCCCAGTGAACATCAACCAATCCAACCACTCAAATTGGTTCTAGAATGGTTGGTGCATTCACCTACCAACCAAAATGGGATTGGTTTTGACCAACAGCCAAATTGAGTCATGTGGGACCCGGAGATCGCGTGGTAGAGAAAAGGCAACAAGTGAAGGATCCCTTGAAGGCGACACATCCCTCCTCAGCCAGAGGCTGCCCTAATCCGGAAGCGAATGAAAATCTGGCAATGGAATCTCCCCAAAGAAGATGGTATCCCATAACAAAGAACCAAAAGGGCGGCTGGACAAACCGGCCGGTATATTCCAACCACCCCAAACATTGCGAGCCGTTTGTGGGGTAAGCCGCGTGACACCAATCCAATGGCCATGCGTGATTCTCCTGGAAATCGATTCTGATAGATCTCCGGCGCAGCTGCCCTTTGGTGAAAGGTTTGAAACCATCCGAGAAGTGCAAGAAAACCAACTCTGACTTGATGTCGAGCTTCATGAAAGAATTCTCTAGTGGGTCTCTCTCTTTTTGCAGCTACCCGTTTTGCGGAAGAAGCTATTTTTTAGTGAGAAACCAAGAGGAGAACCCACCTTTCTTTCTTTTTTACGGGCGCCAAGAACACCTGTCCGTCCTTCTCCAAGCGAATGGGCTGTAGCAAGTTCGACAGCACCCGCAAGTGAAGCTGGAGGTCCTGCTGCAGGATTCCTGGCGTCGGATCGGACTGCCGGCCCAAAAAACGGTCCCAAAAGACCTGGTTTGTGGGTGAAATCGTAAGCATACGGGTCTGAGCTTAATTTAGGGGCCCTTTGCTGGACATCATTTACATGGGGATCCATGTCCACCAACCACTTGGGAGGGGGTTCCCTATTGCAATCCATGGCCATATGGGTATGGGTCAATATTAAATCATCAGGGGACTGCAGGTGTTGGTCCATGTTTCCACTTACCAGGGTTCCAATTTGGAGTACCTATTCTTGACCCACAGCCACCTGGTTTGTTGCTGAAATTTCGTTTCTCGGCCCCAAACTGCCCGCTGGATATGTTGGCCATGAACCTCACAAAGCCAAGGAGAGGGTTCAATGCCATAGGCTACCCCTTCCAAGTGGCTGTCATCCCTTCCAAGGAAACGCGTCAACAAAGTCAACAAAGCTCCAGATACAGCTGGTCTACAGGCCCTTTTGCAAGTAGTACTTGCGGCAACTTTCTCCTCAAGGGTGAAACGGTGAAGAGGTTCAAGACAAACGGGCTAACCACCGAAGAAGCAACCCCCCCCTTCGCAGCTAATGAATCATGGATTGGAGCCAAAGGTACTGGCGCGGCGGGTACGTGACAGGAGCCCTTGAACCAAAACCTTTGCGGAGTCACGATGTGGGCATGTGGTTTAAGTGGGGACCCTTTGGTGGAGATCATTTACGGTGTTCCTCTTACATTCACCTAGCCATGTCAAAATCCCATGGCTCAGCGCAACCACAGAAACAACAGTATGGCAGACAGCCCGCTCAAGGCAAGGTGTCCTTTTGCAAAAACAGATGCCAGTCGATGATCCAGTGGAATCCAGTGCATGATTCAACAAACTGACCTTCAGGCCATCCATCTGTGCTCATTTATTTATAAGTCCCAAAACAAAACAAAAAAAGAGAAGGAAATTCCCGGGTCGCTTCACCCTCATGCCGTCTTTCCCGCTCGTTGTCTCCCCAGCTTCGCTTCGCTTCGCGCGGCCGAAAGCCGCGAAAGCCGCGGAAAAACGTCGGTCCTGCGACACCCTCCACGTCCACGGTGCGCGCATTGCAGGCCACCACCGTCAAGGTGCGGTACTTCTCAGCGAAGGACTCCTGGCTGAGGAGTCCAAGTGGAGGGACCACGAATCTGCACAACGAAAGGGGCCCAAAACCCCCAAGACAAACAACCCCCCCCCCCATATTTTTTAAGGGGGAGATGCCAACTTGTATGAGCAGCAAAAAGAAGTTTTAACCCCAAAGACAAACTCCCCCTCTATGGGTATGAAGCTCGATTCCAACTTATATCGCAGAAAAAAAATTAACCCCAAGCGATCCCACAACCCTGCTCCTGCTGCTGCACCGTGTCCTCAAGCAAAACGAGCCGCGGAGAAATCGGCGAGAGCCCGATTTCGAGCCGCACGTGGTGTGTGGGAGTGGGCTTGCGATGGCGCAATCTTTCCAAAGATACGAGTGGCGCCCAACGCACATATTCCCCGGCCAAAAAGCACCTCAAGAAAAATGTAGACCGAGCACTCAAACGTGTTTGATCAGCTGGAAACTTGGCCCAAAAAGACCAGGGATAGGATTAGAGGAACCAAGTCAAACCACTGGAAACCAAATGAAACCGCAGGAAACCACAGATGAAACCACCAGAAACCAAATGTGACACCCCAGGAGCTAACTTTCTACCCTTCAGCTTTTGATCCCTGGAGCCAAACTTTAGGCCATCCCACCGCAATCTGTTGCAACCCATGCTATGTTTGAAACTGGACGCTCTTTGCCCCAACACTGAACAGAACCAAGCAAAACATGTCGAGAACTGGCCTGTTCAGCGTGTCGGTCGGTGCCCTTAAGGCCCGAAAAGCCCCGAAAGGCGGTTAAAGGGCGGATGTTCGCATCTATGCATGGTTGGGACTGACCCCTACTTACTTAACAGGCAGAGCCCTTAGCTCTAGCCAACCTTAGTTGTGTGCTTCCTAGAACAGGAGCCCCCAATGACAATTGGTCGGCTTTTGGCTTTTGGCTCCTGGTTTTTGCTTCCAACCGCGGAGCTGTGTTTGTAGGTTGTAATATGCGACTTTCCATAGAGAGGGGTGATGTATCACAGAGAAATCATACCTGGAGCCACCTAATGTGGCTGGCAGAATTAGCTCCAAACACTTTAGACCCCAGGGAAAACTCTACAAATGGTCGTGGACTGTATTGGTGGCCCTGCCAAAAAAAAGGGAAATGTAAGGACCCCCGGCAGAAAATAGGATACCACAGAGCCCTCAGCTCTGTGGAGAGTTGAATGGCCCCTTAACATGAGCCCCCAGCTGTTGCTGGCGACACAGAAGCTGCCCACAGCAACTTTTCCCAGACTCAAAGGACATAGGCTTGAAGGGACATCCAAAGGAAACCCGCCATTTGCAGCGTCCCCCAACTTTGAAAGGACATAGGCGGAAAGGGCGAAGGGGCCACTTCTCCCATTGCCATCTGCGAACCACGTGCACCTGGGATGCTAAGGGGGCTTTGCATCCCCCAAAAGGAAAGTAGGCGCAGATGCACCAACTCACAGGACATCAGACGGCCCGAGAGTCCGCCAGCACGCTGATCTTATCCGCAGCCCACTGGAAGATGCTCTCATCATCCTGGCAAACCCCAGCGAAGCAGTCCGGCGGCTCGGACACGGGCCCCGCCATTGGGAAAAATGCCCCCAGAAGCACAGCCTGATTTGTGAAGTTTGAGCGGTACGCCCCCTTTCTGGATGGGAGCTATCCACATCAGCGGCAGCTGGCAACCTGGAGGCGCCAGGCGGTACATCCACCGAAGAGTCACAGGGTCAGTGGTCCACTCACAGTTGGGCAGGATAGTGTCGGTCAATTCCCCGGATACTCTGACCTACGAGTAGCCCTGACACACCTTATCCGACTTTGGTGGGAACCAAACTGCAGCCACTGCCATCCACGGTCAACCAACTTGACAGAAAAAGGATAGTCCCGTCCACTTGAATCCTTTGTGGCAGCGACTTTTGCTTTGCCAGTCCCTGGTCTGTGTCTCAAAACGAGATGGGACCCGGTTGGAAACAGACCCATTTGGAAGGGTCCAATGTGGCTTTGCGACGGACACACACAGACAGAGACACACATGCATGCATGTGTGTCAGAACTAGTGACCAGTAAGGTTGGTTGTCAGCTGCTATGAACTAAACAACGATCCGGTTTTAAAGCCTTTATGTGCAGTCCAAGTGGATATCCCCAACAGCCCCGCCAAAGCCCCTGGAACCTTCTGGAACCCTCTGGAACCCAATCACCCCAGAGCCTAATTGGGCAGGGACCACAAAGCTTTCAGCTAAGGAGAAAAAAATGCAAAGGGCTTCCGTTTTGGGCAAGCTGCGGTTTGTTGCCACTCCGCCGGGACAGAGAAGGGCGCCATGTCAGAATGCAAGATCAATCTGAACGTAAAAATCATCCAAACAAACATATGAATCTGCGAATATAATGTACATATATATATTGTCAACATGCCAAAAAGCAAACAAGTTCTAACTACTTTGCAATATGTCCCTATGTTAAACCATCATAGTCATAGTTGTTCATTCATGCTTTTGGAGCAAGGCCTGGCAATGTGCCAGCCCATCAGCCCATCTTTTTTCCCCCCATTTTGCGACTGTTTCATGTGGCAATCACACCACCGAATGAGGGTTCTGGCTTTAAACACTCAAAACGAGGTCCTTTTCCGGCTGTGGCGTTCTTCGATCAGACTTTGTGTGGGAATGTCCGCTCCGCTCTAAGAAGGGTAAACCCCCCACTCCCCAATGGATCCTTGGCCCCGGGGCCCCAAAGAAGCGGAGGCTTCTTCTTCGTCTCCTTTGTGCACCCCAGCGCAGGGGGGGGAACTGAAAGAGGGGCTGGGAACCGGTGACTTGGGAGGTCTCACCATCTTTTCCTCAATCTGTGCATCCGAAGTCTGAACTGTTTTGTGTGCCATTCAACTCCAAAAACGGCAACTGATGTTCCAAAAAGCCAGCTCCGGGCTGGGGCACCGATCTTCCAAACCGGGTGCGTCACTGCGCCCTGGGAAGAACCGATCTCCAGGCCGCCTTTCTGACACCCTTGGTGTGGATGGCTTTGGGGGTAGCTCCAAGCATGGAAAGAGTACCCCGAACTTCCCAACCACGAGGCTCCAAACCAGGCAATTTGGATATGAAAACCAGTGGTAGGCATCATTTGCATGAGGATCTATCCCTCATTTCTTCAATGAATTTCATCCCCATGTTTCAGAACCATATTTCCTGGATCAAAAATGGAACCCCAAAAAAAATGTCGCCCCGAACCCCGGCCCAAAAGCCGCCCAAGGCGAAACCACCCCAACCGCAGACCGCAGACCGCCCATCCGCCCGGCTTCCCCTGCGCCTTGCTGCCGTACTCCGCGCGCTCCAGCGCGAAGGTCAGGCCAAACTCGCCCTCCACGAAGCGGGGCCGCGAGACCTCGTCCTCCGCATCCAAGCCTGCGCCGCGACCCAACGAGGAGCCACAATGGGTCTTCAACACCCCAAGGGTACGGGCTTGCAAAAAAAAAACGGAGCTGCTTTTTTGCAGCCTACAATGGGTCGCCTTCACAACCGGAAGGGTATGGGCTTGCCACAAAAAAAAAACGAGCTGCTTTTTGCAGCCTACTAAAAAAGAACACATCCAAGAAACAAACAAGAACAGAAAAGGGGTTGAGCGGGTTCATGGCCGAATGGGTGGATGGCTATCCTCACTTCCTGGCTAGTCGAAAGGTCCCTGGTTCTAGTCCAACTTTGGTCCTAGTCTACTGAAACAATTAGAAGTTGATACTACTTGAAATTGAGTTACTATACAAAAGCCAAAAGGCTAAATCATCTAGTCCCAGTTCCTATTTGGTCCTAGTTGGAGATCCCTGGTTTTAGTGCTTGATGGGCAAACCATGAAGTCGAGAGGAAAAAAGGATTGGATAGAAGTGTTGGTCTTCCGTTTGGTCACTTTTGACATGCTTTGCTCGCTTCAGATTTTGTGCGGAAAAACATGAAATGAGCGGAAACCTTGATGTGGCATGATTTGGCCAGCTTTCTCCCGGAAAATGAGCGGAAATCGGTGGGAAACCGGATATTTGCGGACACACCAGAACAACCTTCCTAATTGAGCGTTTCTAGGTGACATGAGTATTTTTGCTCAAAACAGAAAATAATAAAAAAAAATGTGCCCAGGGAAGACCTGGGTGTGAATCTTGTATGTATATTTTTATATATGTGTCCGATACGAGGCCTTTCGACTGCCGTGTCAGGGCCAATCTAGGGTTTCGCCACCACCCGCTTGCAAGGGTTGCTGCTCACGCACCCTCCCTCACACTCACCACCCACCCGCCGACCCAACCAATCCACCCACCCACCCACCCACCCACCGAAGCGTACGTGTGCGTGTGGGCGCGCGTAAGTGCGCGCGTGTGGGTACTTGTGTGTGCGCGTGCGCGCGCACACGTTTGTGCGCGCTTGCGCGCGTTTGCGAAGACATAGACGTTCTGCGCTAGAACCTTTAGCTGTGCTCAAAGTAAGAGCGCTTGGATTGGGATCTTCCTTGCCTGGTGATATGTCGGACCGTTTTTCCGATGGGGCCAATTTTGTGGCTTTTGTTATATGCGCCACCCTTGGTTGTGCAGGTCTAAACATACAATTTCGATTGAGGGACTTTAGCTGGGATTGCTTAGGTGTTCTCCTCATACGTTGCGCTTTCTCTATCCTGTGCCATTTGCTTTCCATGTGAGGCTGCAGAATCCAGGATAAAAGTTTGCAACTAGAGGCTGTGGCAAGAAGCTACACAAGTAGAATGAATTCCTTACGCAACGCCGCGTAGCGGATTTGCAAGACACGAAGCAAACTATATAACGGAGCCGCGAGAACTGCTCCCACCGGCGCGTTGGCTGGCCGAAAATCTCGTTCTGCCCCTGCCAGGAGCGGGCCCTCCTCTTGGCTGAGTGGAGCCTACAAGAGCCTCCCGCCATGCATGGCTGCATGGTGGCCCACGGCATTTCCATCTACTCCGGCTTGAATCTGTGTACGTGTGTGTTTTGGCTGCCGCGACCCAACATGGCCTTGCTGCACAGCAAATCCGACATAGTCTTGCTTCACAGCCCAGATGTCTGGGCCGGCCTCCGTCCGGGTGGGGATCTGGTGCAACAAAACACGTCAGCGGTATACCCTCCAGGTAGGGTTGCCCTCGCTCTTCGAGCTCGAAGACACAATCGCGGAGGACTTGGGACCCAAGGGGCTTTGTTCTTGTTAGGTCCGGAGCAACCATGGGCAAAGTACTCTACACAAACTGGAAACAAGGAACTCCCCAAGTCAGCGAGTGAGTAACGGACCTTCGTGGAGCAACTTCCCCATGATAAAGGTCGTCTGATTAATAGGTGTACCCTCGACACGGAGATCACTCTTGGGGCGAGAGGAAGCACACCTCTATTGGTCTTGATTGATTATGAATCCGGGGTCAACATTCACGGTTTGCCAAAGCCAGAGGCTCATGTGCAACAATTGCGGCGTTCGGTAGGACCTGGTCAACATGAAAGGTTCCAAACCTTGAAGGTTCTCCGGACCAGAATTACAGTAGAGGAGGCCCATCAACCCGAGCCCCAGTCTGGTTTTAGAGTAGACGATAGAGCAACACGGGCAACCAGTAGATAGAGGAAGCGCATGTCCACCCCAAGTCCGCCCCCATAAGCTCAGTCTGCGGACCCATTTTTCCCCTATCTGGGGAAGGGGCTCCAGATGGCAGCCGTGAACCTTCAGGAAACCTCCCCCCGCCTTGGGCCATGCCCATGGGAGCGCTGGTCCAGCCCCCCGCATGGTGCAGGAAGACCTGCCCAGGCACAACCCCCTAATCCAAGGGTATAGCTCCCCTTCCCCGTCACTTCAAACGCATTCTAAGGCTCCTGATAAGGCCGCCCTGATACGGGTCGGGAGTAGATGTTTCTTGCTTCAAGTTGAGCTCCTGCGCAAACTGATTCTGTTATGGGGACTGACGCCAGTTCAGGTCACTTCAAACGGATTAAGTGCCCAGTGGCTGAATCAAGCCGTCCCAACCAAAGCCCCCCGGGTTGGCACTTCTCTTTGCACCATGGCTCCACCTAAAATGCACATAGAGTATTTGGGGTTGGGAGCCGCTTCGCAAAGAGGCACGGGGCATGTCAAGACATGGCCAGTTGGGGCTTCCAACATCAGGGACCCTCAACATACATACTGGAATATTTGAAGGCGAACCAGTCAACTGGACCACTTTTGGATGAGCAACACACCAAGCAATGTTTCGCAAAACCTATAAGAAGCTGACCAATTTCTGGGTCCAAACTGACACCCTCAATATGAATTCTGACAAGAAGAGCCACCGGGCCTCCAAGCAATTCTGAGTTTCCCACACTTTTCGCGGCCCATGATGCCGATCAATTCTGGGGGGGTGTTGCCCACTAGACGTACAGCTTCCTCGCCTTGCTCCCAGCCACCACAGGCGTCTCCTTGTCCGTCCTGACAAAAGGAAAACGATCGGCGCAAACAGCGCATTGCGGAAGTTCAACAAATCTCACGGTTTCAGAGAGTACCTGGAGTCTCCATGACCCTGCAAAAATGGGTCCATGACCCCATTATTTGGGGTAATGGCGCCATTTGTTTAAGGGTCATGGAGACTCCAGGTACATACATCCAATGGAAAATGACTGAGGTGAGAGGCCGCTGGAAGACCATGTTCCGGTAAAAAGGGCACCTCTGGTGAGTTCTATTGGGAGCAATAGAAGGAAACCCACAGGCCAATTCGAACGGATTTCCTTGTTGTCCTGGAGGCTGGTCAAGAAACGTAGTTGTAAAACATCCCCATATCAACCGCTTGCACCTGCCAAAAGTCCAATTCACCTCCGGTTCAACCCTTGAAAGTGTCAACATGGTCGACCAGTGTGCCATCCGACCTGTGGCATTTTGCAGGGTTCACTGACCAGTCATCCTTACGGTTGTCTCAATTCCCCGGTCCGTTTTCCAAGCCCCCGGTAAGGAATTTCGACCATGGCGCATGTCTGATCGCTAAATGGTTGGCTTTCAACGGCTGGAAACGGGTGAAACTGGCTGCGGTGTTCCTTTTGGTTTCTCTTTGAAACCACAAGAAAAGGATACCAACTGCAAACAAAGCGGACCCCCTAAAATGGCTTTGTTGCTGCTGTTGGCTTTCCTTTTGAAGCCACACAAAAACAAACTCCAAAAAGGTTTGAAACCGCAAAAAATCGGATACCAGCTCCAAAAACAAGACACCGACCCCGGTCAGCACATATTATGGCCATGGGTCAAAAGCCCGTACCCCCAGTGAACATCCCAATCCCCACTAAAATAGGTTCTAACACGGGTGGTGAATTCACCTACCCCAAAATGGCTCCCAAAACGGTTTTGACAACCACAGCCATATGCTTACGGAGTCTGTGAGGGTAGTCCTGGGGGGGGGGGTCCGCAAGGCTCCCCAAAAAACCCTCCGCGCCTCACGAACTGCACGATGTACTCCCCTCGGGCAGCCGCCTCCTCGCCGGGCTTCAGCGAGGAGAGCTCCAGGTTGCTGTCGCCTCACACGCGCCAACGCCTTCCCCAGGCGAAAACCCCCAGAAACCCACCCAAACACCCACCCAACCTGGGTTTTCGGATTTCCGAACCAGGGTTGCTCCGAGAAAATAAGCAAAATAAGCAAACCAGCGTGGCTGAGGCCTCTCGATCCAAAACTTCGGGGCGCTCGTTTTCTCGCCCCGGGCACCCTCCCCCGGTTTACCTTTTGGCTTCATCGCACCAAATGCACGGTTTGCCAGACGAAAGACACGCTCAAAATTATTTTCCAATGGGTGCTTCAAAGAGATTTCCCACCCCGAAAGTAATTATGAGCACACCTCAAATGCCTTCAGTGGGCCTTCCAAGCCAAAGGCACCATCAGAGCCGCCGGAGACGCTGGACATCATCTTGGCGTACTTGGTCGCCTTGCCGGCCTTCGCGAGAATGTCGTCCACCTCTTCGCCTGGGCATCGCAAGCTCAGAAAAACGGATCTACGTCAACTGGGGTTCAAAGAGGGAAGAGGAGTAGTGCCGTTGGGGAAAAACGCGTTGCCCAGAAAGTGCCCCAAAAAACAAAGGAACTAAATCCAACCCCAAATGAACAGAAGGGAGCCAGCAAAACGTCCCACTGAGCCTTCAAAAAGATACTTCATCCGCAATATTCCGTTGAGCATCGTGACAACCAAACTCACAAATTAGTGTGGTTCTCTTTACAAACCAAAAGTTGCAAGCTGCCTTGCAAGACCAAACCAGCAGAATGAGAAGAAGATTCTCTCATCGCGTCCGAGGAGCGTGTGGCCTTCTGGCCGTTGATGGCCAGCACCGTCCACCCGCTGCTGTCCCAGCCCTGGCACAACCCGAAAAAAATAAAAATAAAAATCGGTCTTGTCCATTTGCTACCTTCAACTACGCATTCCCTACTCAAAAACAAAGCCACCAAGCGGAGCGAACAAAAAAATGCCATCCCCCACCGCAACTGCACCCCAGCGCCTTCAAATTCTGGCCCCGGCGCTTCACCAAGCGCAGCTCGTCCACCTCCAGGTCATCGCCCATGTGCACGAACTGGCTGAACCTGACGCAAGGCCTTTCGCCTTTGGCGAAATTTCCCCCCTTCCCTCAACACGGGTGGTTTGGAGCCCGGTCGATTGGTGGTTTAAGGGATTCCCCTGTATGTTCTTGCAACATGTAGATGTTTTTGTTGGTTGGGGGCTATCATGTATATTCAGCTTTACTGCAATTGGTGGTCTGGAGCCCGGTGGTTTGGTAGTGATATGGGGTGGTGTCCCATTTACCCGAAATACAAGAACCAGGGGTTCAAACCCCAAACCACCAATCCAAACCACAAATTTAGGGTAACCAGAAAAAGCGAAACAATTGGTTGTTGGATTGGCGGGAACTGAGGATTTGAACCCGCTGCCCTCCTTAACCGCCAAACCACCAATCCAAACCGAAATTTTGACAAAGGCTCTTAGACTTGGCAAACAGAAGGTGATGAGCAAAACGCCACCTTCTTCGAGAAAGGGCGAATATTTTGGCAGTGGCGTTTCGAACCCCCAAATAGTTTGTCAGAAAACAAAACTTACATGGCGTGGGGGTGATGAGGAGGAACCCTCAAAGGGTTTTCTGGAGGTATGTAGGTTGCAGAGCAATGAAAAGTCCAACCTGAACCGGCTCAAGTTGTTGGCAAATGTGTTCTGGCGTTAACCAGATCTCCCAGGCAGAAATGCTTGGCCCTCCTTTTAACTCCACCCAAGAAATTGCATCAAGCCCTTGACTCCTGGAAGTGGCAAACTGGCGGCAAACGGGATGCGCTCCATCAACCTGATCTGTACCACCTATCTTCCCTACATGTCCCTTGGAAACGTGACCCCCAAAGGAAATTCCAGTTGGCAAGCAAAGGGTAATGTCTTAAACAAGCACAAGGGATGTCTTTCTTGAGAGTATTGTCAAATCCCCCTAGAAGCCGGTCAAATTCCCCGTGAAACCGGTCAAATTCCCCTCCAGAAACCGGCAAAATTCCCCCACCAACTTGTCAAATTGAGCAGAAATTTGCACCTTCGCTTCTGCCATTCTGTAGCTCTTGCCTGGCCCTTGAAGCCATGTGGAAACGTGCGGACATGCGCCCACCCTCTACCTTGGAAACCAGCTCACGCATTTCGCCGAGGCGGGCAACTCGAAGCGTTTACAATGATGGGCAATCCATCTGCGCTGAATCCGAAGCCCTTGCCGGACTCTCAATGGCCTGGATGCAGAGCGGTAGATCTCCTCATGGACCAGCGCCACCGAAAACCTCGGGCACGTTTTGGATCCAGAGAAATCAAGCCAATCGCAGGAACAAGCCAGGAGCGACCCACCCTTTTGTGTGTTGTCCCAAGAATGCCACACAGGCCAAATGTCCCCCAAAAGGTTTGGCTTTCCAACAGCAACGGTCTTGCAAATACCAGCAGCTTGGTAAACGTGAAAACTGGGCTGGTTCGTAAACATGGGACAAGGTGAAACCAACCGCGCACTGTCGATGCGAAGTATGAAGACAAGGGAACAGCAAAATTGGGTGCCTTTCGGAACAAAGCCTCTAAGATCTACAAGTTGCTTTGTACACACGCTTTTGCGGATGGATGCCCGTTCTCGCCGCCAGTAGGTGCCACTATGAAGCGAACTGACATCATTCCCACAAGCCTGATCTGGGCTTGTCTCAAAATAGAACCCTCTTTGCAAGCTCCGAACCACTCGGCAGCCTTGGGCAAAGACCCAAAGTTTGGAGCCGTTTGGGGATAAAAAGGCAGTAACCCCAAAACCCCAAAACGCCAAAGACAAAAAGCTCAAAAAATACCTTGTGAACAACAAGCCCCAACGGGGCTGGGACCCAACGTCCAAAACCTCGAAGACCTCTGGGCCAAGCGTCGACGTCGCCTCCTCCTCGGTCCACGCGGCCCTGCTGCGCAGCGAAAAGGAGCCGTCGCCTTCCTTCTCGAGGCCCAGCAGTTGCCCAGACTCCAGCGCCCTGAGGACTCCTTTGGTGGGGTCCTTTGTGGAAAGCTTTATAGAAAGGGAACCAAGACATGGGTGTTTCCTTTGGTGATTCCTTTGGTGTTTCCTTTTCATCCTTTCCCCTTTGGTCCTTTGGTGTGGTCCTTTGGTGTCCCTTTATACAAGAGGAACCAGAACTTGGTGGCTGCTTTACTGATCGGTCCCGCTTAACCCCGAAAAAGGTCTCCTTGACCCTGTGACAACAAGTGGGAAGGAGGGATATTAGCGAAAAGGGTCGTTTCTTAGTGGCTCGCTGATCCCGTGTTTTAGAATAAGTTGCCATCAATCACTCTCAATTCTAACATCCAAAAGTCGAAGGGTATGGCTGGGATAGAAAGGAGGAGATGCTGCCTTAGCAAGGAACACTGGCAGGTTCCCTTTGATTGGCTCGTTGATTGCTAAAAAACGAAACCTTGGGATGTGACATGAATCCATCAGGCGAACCACCAAGGATTCCAGAGTTGGCTTGAAAAACAACCATGATGATGTTTTTTGACACGCATTCACTAGTAGGGTGACTAATTGTGGCTGGCGGGACGACCCATAGGATGCTTTACACACATGCATTGTGTTATGATCATGCCATATGTTGGGATTCGTGGTCCCCCGCAACTCCTTTTTGGTTGTGTTGTTCTTGGTTTGTTTGTTTGTTTTGTTTGTGTGTTTTGTTGTGTCTTTTTTGAATTTGTGTGTGTGTGTGTGTTTTTTCAGGGGGGAACCCACAATGGGAGTGAACAAGATGGGAAACCAAAGGGAATCACAGCCCCCTCTCTTCTTCTTTTTTGGTGGGGGGGTCCTAATTTTGAGACATACCCCGAAATATGTCTGTGAAACACCCAAAAAATGCCCAGCTTTGCTCGAGGTCAACGAAGCCCAACAGTCCCCCGGGCGAAGCACCTGAGAACAGGGGCTCTGCCCTCTGGACCCAAATTCGACCCGGGCGTGTCTTGTTTTAGGGGACTTCGAAAACGGACCGGACAGAAAAGGGGTACCATCAAAACAAGACGGACCCACATGTGCTTTGGGCCCACACCCTTCATGCATAGAGTCGCTGGATGTCAAACCTGACATCATCAAGAGGAACTCACGTTGAATTGGCTGTTCCAAACAGATATGTTTGACCCAAAACATACCCAACAAGTGTCCCTCTTAGAAAGGCCAAATTGCGGCGCCTTCGAGGTGCAGGTTCTCATGTTGACCCCGTATCAATCAACCAACCAGTTTATTCATGAGGGTCCCCGCCAATAGTGGTCTGATTCCCCACCAAATGGGGTTGATACGGGACTTATAAGCGTGCAAATGGTCTTTCACCGTGTCGGGCTCCATGCTAGGGAGCCTAAAGACACGTTGTCCCGAACCCATTTCCAGCGGATTCCTCGGAGTCAGGCCGTCTGGATCAATCCGAATTCGCTGCCCGACCGCGAACGCTGGGCCGAGACTTACTCCCTCCAAAACGTTGAGCCCAGCGAGCCGTGGCGAGTGAAAATGTCTTGCCAGGGATGCCTGTCAGTCACCAGGCAACCCAAAACTGTGCTACGGCTCCTTGCATCTTGTCTCAGGCCGGTCCTCTTTGGACATTGAAAAATGAATTGGGGCCGTCTATTGTGAGGGTGCCCTTCTTGAAGCTGTTTCAAAGGGACTAAAAGACAACCACCAATGTTGGAATGTTGGGGTTTCTCCTATCAAACAAAACCAATTCAGTGCCCAAGTTCAACAACCCCCCCCCCCTCTTGAGCGGTGGGCCTCAGACGGATCGGCTGGCCAGAGATGAGGAGCCTCGGACGCCGAGATGACTTTTGGTTCTAACTTCGTTCAGGTTGATATTGGAACCTACTAAAATGGCCCTTGTGTGTGTGTGTGTCGTTTTTAGTGTCGCCTTTTTGGGTTCCTGAAAGGAAACTAACAGGAACCAATCAGAACCTTCCAAGTCGGTCAACTTCATCAGACATCTGAATCATCTGCACGTAGATCAGACTTCCCCGTGACACGATGTGAATGCAACTGTTCTGCAAATATGGCCATTTTATGTTCTGCAAAAGCATCAAATGCACGGTAGTGCAGTGGTGGGTTCTTTAAGCCTCCTGCCTTGAAAGTGGGTCCCTCTACATCAGGTAAGTGCCTTGTTGAAGAAAAAACAACTAGTGCAACTGTGCAACAGAAACTGGCACAAAGGGCATTCCTGGCCACCGCCTTCGCCCCAGCGAATCATGGCAAGGGGACTGCACGCCAGCTTTGGGGGGATGGCTGAACGAGATCCCCAAAAATGCCTCGCACGTGAATCACGAAGCTGGTAAATGTGAGAGTCTCAACACGGCAACATGCATCCGGGCCAAATCACCCTAACTCCCGACTAGAAAACAGGATCCGCAAGAGTCTGTGAGCTGGTTCGAGCTTCTCATATTTTTCCCCGATTCCATGGAGCAGCGCTTGCCGAGATTCTCCTGGATGTGGGGATCCGTGGATTCCAGCACAAACTTCTGGTTCGACAAGTCGTTGGACAGTTGGCCCACGATCCTCACTTCTGTCATTTTGTCGGGGCCACCGCCATGGTTCCCACACCTGTGAAGAAAGCACACACAAAAACAAGCAGTACTACGCCCGCAACTGCCTAGGGACTTCCAGCAGTCATGTTTTTCAGATGAGGATCTTACAAAATCCTCTCGTCCTCTTTCATGACTGTTGGAAAGAGGGCAAGTGCTCCCCAAAGGAGGCTTTCGACTTGGTGTACCGAACGAAATCTCTGCAACAGTCAACGGACTTTCCAGGCGTGGGTCTTGGACGCATGGAGGTTGTATACCACTTGTATGAATGGACGTGTTCTGCACTACAGGCGTATGTTGGTGATGAAGCATCCTGCCATACCTGCAAAACTACCTGGACATGCGCTTGAAACAACTCACAAGCTCTGCCGAAGATGGCCATGGCAACTCGTTTCACCCAACTCGGAAGCCTCCCTCCAAAAGGGACAATCACTGAGGTTCTGCCCGCCTCCACTTCGCTCGCCCTCTAAAAGGCGCGATCACTGAGGTTAGGCCCAGGACTCACATCATTTGCAGGTGCGATGACTAATTCGGAAGGCAACCTGACACCAACAACCCCATCTCTACCCTGCTTGATTTTGAGAAGGCGGTTTGACCGTTTGATTGGCCAGCAGAAAAGAAGGACTACCCAGGTTCAGGGTCACACGTGTTAACCGAATTTGGTGGACCCGACTACAAAATCGTTTGGTTGGTTGTTGGCTTTTCCTTCAAACACGAAAGGAGGGGACCGCATTTATTGCGAAAAAAAAAAAAAACGGAAGCCAAACGCAGTGCAAAACCCGACAAAGCCAGAAGTCCGCACTGAGGACAAAACCCGTATCCCGGAAATCATGGCTCCACCAAAACCAAGCCCGAAGGCAAACCTTCCGATATCCCCAACAACACCACAACAAGGTTCCACAAGGGTTCCAGAAATGTTCTGCCAGGTTCCGTGGTTTGCCCTGAAAAAAGAAGTGTGGTGTGCGCTCGCCGTCTGAAAAGCCATCGGAGCAGTAAACTGAGGGCTTAGAAGATTGCTTTGCTCATGGGCGGAACACTACGCAAAACCGAAATTAATGGTTTTCAGCACACTCTCACTGTTTTGTCACTTGCTCACTTGCTCAGGCAACGTTGGCTTTGTGGCAGATCAGATCACGTTGCCGCAGGACTCAAGGTGCAGCAGAGTATACAAATTAAATGCTTGGCATTGCTGAGTATTACTTGGTGGGCTTTGGGTTCCAAGAATTCCACGAGGCTGCGAGGGCTATGGGCTAAGGTTCCAAAAACGCTCCACGAGGTTTCCACCAGGTTCTGCAAAAGCTATGGGGCAGCCCTGAGGAAAGGTTCCAACAAAGTTTCACCTGAGTTTTACGAGGGTTCCATGAGGGTTCCACGAGAACGGTTTGCGAGGTTCACCGGGCCACGGTCGGGGCTCGATTGCACCGTCGGGGCCCGATTGCACCGTCGGGGCCCGATCGGCCCCGATTGCGCCGCGCCCCGATCGGGGCCCGACGCAGTCGGGCCCCGTCAACTGTACCAAGCTGGCATCGCCTAGTTTTGCTAGATACAGTTGTAGGGCCGCATCCTAAGGAAAGCGTTGAGCTATAATATTGGTGGCTGGGGCTGCACCACGGGACCATGGGCCCCGATTGCACCGTCGTGCCGCGATCGGGCCCCGATTGCACCGCCGGGCCCCGATGGGCCCCGATTGCACCGTCGGGCCCGATCGCCCGATTGCGCCGTCGGGCCCCGATCGGGCCCCGATGTCGGGCCCCGATCAGGGCGCAATTGCGCTGTCTACAAGGCGGCATCCTCAGCAACACCGGCGGTGAGGTGGGTCTTGGGGCGTTGTGCGAGGATTCTGGGAGGGGGAACGCTTGTGGAATTGTTGCGGACCACAGACTTACTTACCTCAAATTACCGGACCACCCAACCCAGCCCTCGCAGCTGGTGGAAAATGGTGGAACCCTCGTGGAACCTTACCTCAACCACTGACCACCCCCCAGCCTTCGCAGAACCTGGTGGAACCCTGGTCGTGATAGAGCGGAGCACCCGCAGCCCTCGAAGAAATTGGTGGAACCCTGGTGGAACCCTCGTGGAACCCTCGTGGAAGCCTCGATGAACCTTCCCGGACCACCCCACAGCCCTCGAAGAAATTGGTGGAACCCAGGTGGAACCCTGGTTGGTGGAACCCTCGCGCAACCTTCCTCAAACCAGCACTCGAAGAAATTGGTGGAACTCTGATGGAACCCTGGTCAAACCCTCGTGGAACCTTACCTCAAACCACCCGGACCACCCCGCAGCCCTCACAGATGGTGGAACCTTGGTGGAACCCTGGTGGAACCCTCGTGGAACCTTACCTCAGGGCCGCCGCGGACCACCCCGGAGCCTATCTGGGCTGAGACCCCAAAGCTTTCAGCTGTTGGGGGAAAAGAAAAAAAACAACACGTCGAACAAACAAAATCTATCAACCGCAAAAACGTCCTCCAACCGCCCCCCCCCCCCCCGCAAACCAAAACAAAATAAAACTCACCGCAGAAGCCGAGGCACTGGTCGCACTTGGTGGTCAGATGCCCCGCGGAGCAGCGGATGGAGACGAGGCCCCCCGTCTGCAGGGAGCTCCGCGAGCGCCTGAGACTTCAAGGGGAGCCAAGAGGAAAAACCCATGGCTTTTTGTAAAAAAAAAAAAAAAAAAAAAAACAGACATTTGCCCATCTTGAATAAACCCATGGGAGCTTCGCAAAGCTATGTGTGTCCCTGTGTCTCCCCTCCGGTGTTTCTAAACAACTTGGCCCAACTCTAGGGTCACAACCTGCACACCCTCCGATTTTGAGCATAGTCCGGAGAGTTCCTTGACCCGACTCAGCACACCAAACATGAGAGATCTTCCCTTTTCCCGCGTCTGTCTTTGTTTGGAGTTGGTACCCTTTCTGTCTGGTTCCAGACCAAAAAAAAACAACGAAGGAAACCCGAAGCCATGTATGGGGTACCCCAAAAACTGACAGACCCATAGTCAGCCTACCGTAGACTAATGGTTCATAGTCTTGGAGGCCCAAGTTACAGTTGGGTGCAAAGGGGGTAGCACAACCTCCGCATTTAAGTTGCCTCACCATCTACTTCCCCACATTGCTTCTCCCTTTCCCAAAGCTTCCAGTACGCCACCAGGGCACATCATCATGCAAACACCACACAAACGCCTGGTTGCCCTGATGGAAACTGGAACCTGCTGGTTTTGGTTTTCCCTCCAAATTTCAGGAATGGACAAACCTCCTCATGCCTCCAAATTGCACATCCCAATCCGAAATCCACCCAAGTCCGGCATCCACATGCGTCCAAGGGGGGGGCGGGAGAATGCACCTCCAAATCCGACATCCACCCAAACGGCATCCACATGCTAGCTTCATTATTTGACCATGTTCAAAGTCACCCCCGGAGTGGTAGGTTAAAGGGAACAACTCCATGTTCTGACTTTGATAACCCCCAGAAACCGTCAAAATAATGACCCCAGACATGCGTCAAAACTTTTGCTGGGGGGGGGGGTGGAACTCTGACCTGCTCCGAGTTCCAAAACCCCCGAACCACGAGGACAAGCACCGCAGGGCCCCATGGAGGCGGGCTCGCCGAGCGGCTTCTTCGCCTTGCTGAAGTCATAGCCCTCCAGCGCCAGCATGGCCTCGCTCGTGATTAAAAAAAAAAAAAATGGAAACCCGGGAAGGGCTGCGGCTTTTTGGGGGAAACCACGGGAAAACCGCACACGGTGCTGCCTCCAGGGCTTCTTACCCGGTTTTGTTTCGGGAACCAAAAGGCAAGCAACTTGATTTTGCTGCCTCGGCTTTCTTTTTACTTTTTGGGTTGGCACTTGAAGGAAAACCACGCGTTGCACATTGGTTGGGCCGAAGGCTGAAATATTTGGGAGTTTACTTCAAAGGAAAACCAACCAGTACAATGTTTTGAGAAATGAACACCTGGCTGTGTGTCAAAATGTGCGGCTGGATGGGGCGCTTGGTTCCGTTTCCCGCACAAAACACCCACGGATTTACGGGGTTCCCTATTTCGCGACGGGCCCCAATGGGCTTCAAAAACAATTGTGGGAGTTGCCTTTCCTGTGATACCAATGGAAAGCCTTCCAAATGCCGAACTCTCAAGGTTCCCTGAGGCTCTGAAGTTGTAACCAGCTCTTGCTTTTCCACGACCCTGGCTGAGGTTTGTTCTTGGTGTTGCTTACAGGGTGTTGGGTGTCGAAGGGTCTTAACAGATGATGTATATTCGAAGGTGCCCAAGGCTCTCAAAATTGGGTGTTTTGGGATTGGGTTTGGGAAAAGTACTCATCACGCAAAGAGTCCAAACAAAGGGCATCCCCTTTTTGAACAGACCTCGTTCGACAATCAAAAAAACAGACGATCAAACACGATCGTTTTGGGGGCAAAGAAATCGAAGGCTGCAAACCAAAGAGTGCATTGTAAGATATTGTAAGCATTCCTGTAAGTCAAACAACCCCAGTTATCCTAGTATTATGTCAAGTTATATCCCACCAAGTGTGTTGAACATCCAAGCAGCCAAGCATGACTGGGGTCCCGGAAACTTGATCTTACCCTCCAGGTGCCAAGCTAACGGGACAAACAAACCCCGCCCGGGTGTATTTTTGCAACCTCCTTCTTCAGGGTATCTGTGTTCTAGGGTTCTTGGCTGTGGCCTCTAAGCAGCCCGCACCCCCACCCCCCACCCCGTAAAAAGTTGAAGCATGTTGCTGGTCACTTGGAAAAGTCGTCATGTTTCAAAAGGCGGGGGTGGTCATTTCGGTCGATTCAGCGCGACCAGCCGCGCCTTCTTGATGTTGTAGATCACTCTGGCGCGCAGGAAGGTGGAGTCCCAATTGCAGCTGGGCAGGCCTCCCAACTTTGTCCAACGCTGAAATGCCAAAACATCGGCGCATGGGCGTGTCTTAACATCGGGCCTAGGAAAGTGCTGTCCTCATGGCTTCCCTTTAAAAACACCCCAAAGAGGGAGTACCCCTCCAAAAAAGGGCACTTCCACATTGGAGGCTTGCTCAAGTCCTTACCCTTAAGCTCCCATACTGAGATTGTCTGCGGGCATCGCAAAACGACTAGTAACCAAAGGTTTCAGAGGCTTATAGGGGGGTGAATGGAAGTTCATTCGAAGGTACTGCCCACCAGGCAATTCCGGCAGCCCGGACCGTGCAAGTACACTTGTTGACACCCTTTTGGGAAAGCCTTCCTGCGAACACTGGTGTTGCTATGCGTCAAGGTGGCGTGAGACTTTCGCTCCAGCGCGCAGATCAGTGACTGATCGCGTTAACCAGATTCAATCAATACCGCAACAAACAAAGCACAAATACACAGCACCGGTGGACAAAAAAGCAACTCGGTGGAACGAGAATCATCAAGAACACAAAGCAGTACGAAAGTGTTGAAGCAACACGCGGGTCCCTTGTGCACCCCTGACAAAGGCTTCTCACCACAACACCAAACTCCACCACCCGAAACAAGAAGGCCACCAGCCAAAAAAAACATGGCGCTCTTAAAAGGTTTGCCTTGGGTCAACTGGGGTTCCCTTTCAGGTATGGTACAAGTCCAACCAAACAGGAAGACAGAAGTGGCCAGCCCCTCCCCTTCCCGCAAAACAAAAAAAGTCTAGACGCCCAGACTTCGAGTCCCTATCTTCACCCCCGGTTCGCCTGCTTCCCTTGCGGGGCCAAAGCATTCAGAGCTGGTGAACTTGGGGTGATGCTCCAGGACCTTGGACACGATCCTCATGGCCTTCGGGTCCGGGATGTGGGCCTGAGCAGGAACGGGTCCACATGGGCAAAAAAACGATCCAGCCCGGGAAATGGGAGATGGAACAACTGGAGATCTATTTTGGGGGAAAACAGTGGACCCCTTTTTGGGATGGTGTATATTTAATGGACCAGCGGAGATGGGAAACCACAGCTTAGCCCCCCGCAAAAGAAACAAAGCCGAATTGCGCTCTCAACATCTTACCTCGGTTGCTTTCTGCTCCCTGCTAAAAGTTTACCTTTTAGTGGTTTAATGGAAAACCCATTAGTTGGCAAAAAGTTAAAGTCCTAACATCCAAGCAAAATGCACCAAAGTTACCACAGGGGTGCCACAGTGCTATCGTTGATTGCCCCAATGTTGCAAGCAAGCCAGACGCGAAAGATTCTCAAGGTTGCTCCTGGCCTCCTTGCCGCAAGGCCCTTGTATAGGAATTAGATAACTGAGCCTGGCTTCCCATCTTCCCCGCAATAGATGTACAGGATACGCACAAGACATCTAGGCGTCAAGGTTCGGACCAAGCTGGGTGGGAAAATGGGCCGTTTCTGCGATGCCACTGGATAGAAAGTCTAAGTCTTCCCTTCAAGGGAAATCAAAGTTCAGAGGGCCACATTTCAGTTCCAGGAGGTCGCATGAAAAACTTGTCAAGCACCGAAACGCCATTGGGTGCGCCAGTGGCACTCAACAACAGGAAGTCCGCTTACCGTGTCCGACGTCCGGTCCTCGAGGATGCGGTTCTTCAGCGCGTGCTGCACGTTGTTGAACTCATTCTCGCTCCACACCTCCGCCGGACTATCCATCAAGCATCGCACGCTCAGGGTCGTCCTGCGGTGGAAAAAGGAATGGGGCAAAAAACGGACTTCAAACAGGAACCGCTAGAAAACGCTTGGACAACCAGCCACATGAGCAAGTGCAAAGCTTTGAGCCAGCACACCGAGACAAGCCAGCAAAAAAAAAGCATGGACGGGGGAGCAGCCTTAAATCCAGCCCCTGAAAACTCCCAATGTATTGATGGGGGACATGCAAAATGAACTGTTCATTCTTGAAAACGCTTGCTTCATTCTGGACGCCCCTCAATTCATTCTTTAATGGGCCCCCTGGTCACAGGCCCAAGTGGCAAGCCGAGGCACAAGCTGAGGTCCACCAAAATGAGAACAAACCAAACCGGATATCCACTGGGATTGTCCCTTTCTGAACCTCAGTTACCTGGGTTTTGATGGGTGACATTCAGGGGAGCTGTCTCAGTTGCCGGGAAAGGAGTGGCCCATTCGACGACCTAAGCATACTCGGAGAGAGCTCTTCGCAACAAATTGACTCATATGCGGCATAACCGTTGTTTGCTTGCTACAAGGGTTGGCCACCATCCTTCTTAGCCCCAAGTGTCATGGTATGAATTTGGCTGAAAATAGTGAAACAGCAAGAACAGTAGTCTTCCTTGCCAAAAAAAGGCACCCTCAAAAAATGACGCACCTTTATGATTTCTTGGAAGGCTTGGTGCTTCAAAATAAGCCTGTTGTCTGTTCCAGGTGAATTGTAATCAAAACTTGGTACTAAAGTGGTCGATCAACACCAAGGTACAGAATCAAAAGGCCCGAATTGATGGCAACTCCCGCACCTAGACGGTTGCCACCTCAATTCATCTCCAGACTTCAGTTGACTTCTTGTGCAGCTGACCCCCAGGCCATCCAAGTCGCACCCTTGGATGTTCAACCTACTTGCGTCAGAACCAGGATTCTACCTCAGACCGCCGCTGTTCTAGTAAGAACCGATGGTTGCACCCCCACTTACCTGAAGAGAAAAAGGGACCATCAGCTGTTTCACCTGGCTCATCCAAAAATGACATTCAGGGTGCATGAGGGAGCCCATGAACAACCCGACTGAGTCTGAAGATCAGTAACACTCAACTCAAACCGCCGTGTTTCAGTAACAACCCCTGGTTACAACCTGAAGATCATGTAGTAAGAACCACGCGTACCCCTACCTGATCCGATCAGTCGGTCCGGGGTTTTGCCCTTACATTCCGATCAGATCCACGACCGGGTCCGGATGAGCACCACCAGCACCAACATCAGCACGGTGCTCACCGCGAAGCCCGCCACGATGAAGCCGTCGTCCTCGAAGTGGCTCCGCATCGCCTGGCGCGCGCGGCGATGCTGGAGCGAGCAGAACGGCCCCTGGTGGATCTTCTTTGTTGGGAGGGGTACCCGTTTTGTGGGAGGTGCCAAGGGAAACCAGAAGGAAACCTGAGGTTGAAAGGGAATCCGAGAGGAAACCACGGCACTTTAGGGCGTTCCACGATTTGGAGACAATCGGCAAAAGAGCCGTGTGGACCTGACTCCCCGACCACCCCACTCATTTTTTGAGCAAAATCCAGAAAAGTCCCCCCCCCCCCCCGATCTCTCCTACCCTGGGATGAGCCCAGCAAAATGACAGGCTGCCACGCTGGCTTGTGGTCGCTGAAAACCTGGAACACGGCACATCAGAATTGTCCGCACCTTGGTCCCAAACTGTCGTCATCTGTTGGGCCCCGGCTTCGGGAAACCAAAAGCAAGACCACCATTCTCAGGAGTCACTGGATTCCCCCCTGAAAAGTTGCAATTAACTGGCGGTTCTCTCCATTGAAACGATCGCCACTGAAAGCTGGCCCAAACCACCCTTCTCGCTTCTCTGGGCCAAATCCACCAAATCCATAGCTTCCAGGCGGAAAAACAGATATCTCGCGGACACCCCCCTCCAACACCCCCGGCCCCCGATTTCCGTTGGCTCCTCATTTTGGACCCCTGTTCTGGGCGCGCGGCGCGGCTTCCCCCGATCCGAGGAGCGCCTGGAGGTCCCAGTCGAGCCACTTCCCAGCCACCGCCACCATGCCCGCCAGCTCCAAGAACCTCACGACGGGAGCGGCGGCTGAGCGAGCGGGTGCCAGCGGCAGGGAAAGCAACCTCCAGAAGGCTGGCTGCCTTTTTTTGCAGGCTCGGTATCCTCTTGTTGCTCGTTTTTCCCAAAGAAAAAACAATTTGAGAACCACCAAAAATGGAGGGGGTCCTGTTTATTTCAGACGCATGAGAACCCCTCAAAAAGCAACGTTAAGAAGTCCAAAGAGGGGGTGTCGATTTCCATTTGAATGTTTGAATCAGGTAGACTCCCATTGGTCCTTCCCGATTTCGGTTGGGGCGGGGTGCATGAATGGGTGCTAAAGACCCGCGTCAAGCTACCCTTCTGGTTTCGAGGAAGCAACACCACCATGTTTGGGGGTCGCCCTATTTTGACACATACCCATATACATCATTTGCTTTCTTCCTGATTCAATTTCGCGGTTGCAACCCAGTCGCTGTAGCGAGAGTGAAAAAACGGAGCCTGCAAGTTTCGTTTGAGAATTCCTTTCCTTGATTTGCGAGAGGATTTTGCATTCGGTTCCCCTGGCAGTGGTTTTGACAATAGGGATGATGGAAACCGTATTGGGATTCTAACCAACCTCCATTTTTGAACAGCCGGGCCGTACCCGAACAAGTATATATATATATACAAAAAATATCCATCTGTCCCCACCCATCCAGAAGTCTCGGCAACCCAGGACACCGAGGCCCCTGGCCGCTCTCCCCACCCCCGGCCTAATGGAGTAGTAGACGATGGGCGGCATCGTGATCACTGAGTCCTTTTCCAACATTGGCCTAGTCAAACGCATACGCGTGTGCGTCATGTGCCCAGGGGAGTTTGATTCTGTGTAGTGGGGGCAGGGGCTTGGGGGCTTAGGCAATTGTCTGTGAATGCGGTGGACAGAAATGTCGTCACATCCCCTCAAATTGGGTATTTAAAGGCTGGTACAGCCAAGCCCCGCAATTGACTTGTTGAAAGGCGATATACCACCCATGGTAGGGGCTGACCTTGATTGAGGCAAGATTGTGAAAGAAACACACCCATAGTTGACTCAGAGAGGGGAGCATGGCCTCGCAGACTCAAGGAGACACAGAAGGGCACGGTTTGTCTCATGGAGGAAGCCCCCCAACATGGGTGTTGTCCAATGTTTTCATTCCAATCAGGTCCAAAGTTGGGAGTATGGAGCGAGTCAGAAGTTTCTTAATTCGAGTAACAAACGTTAGTTTTTCAGGTGGAACCCTTTGTGTGAAACTCAGTGACAGGGCGCCGGCAGCCCCAGGGCTGGGAAACAAACTAACTCAGACGAAGAAAGTTTGTTTTCTCAAGGAAAAACAAAGGTTGACCTGGCCGAAGAGAAGTTAGATGAGAGGCTCGAAAACACAGGTTCTGGAGCCGAAAAACTTAATTTTTCGGGTGGAAACTAACCTTTCTTGCCGCGCGGGAAGGCGGCGCCCAGAAAAAAAATGGAAGGTTGGGAAAACTGATGTTTCCAGGGTCGGAAGTGACACTTTGTTAGTTTCTTGGGTACGTGCAGCCAGACATCTCCAGCATCACAAATGACACCCCTAGCATCACCAGCAACACCACCAAGTGGCTAGGCAGTTGTTAAGTTCAGCTGCGCAAAGTTGCGTGTGACGCGCCGAGCAACGAGCCCTCTCCCCCTCCCCCCGAGAAGAACAATTGGGCGGCGGGAATGGTTGTGGGGGGAGGGGGAGTTTAATTGTTGGAACAATAATTGGCGGAGGGTGAATTTGTGATATTGCGGGGGAGTGGGTTACGATTGTTCGAATAATGTCGGGGGGGGATGCTCGAACAACAACGGGGGGTTGTTGTTGGGGGTGGGGAGCGCGGATTGTTATTTGGAAGGGGGCAAGGGGGGGCGGGGTGCTGTTGTCTTGTTAGTAAAGCGGGCTTTCTCTACTACCCGCTGCCCCAAAAAAGGTTGAGTTTGATCCTTTTCCGGACAACATCGGTTTGCCTTCTTGGTGTTAAAATCTCAACACTGGTGCTACAACAATCGCTCGGGTTTGCAGAGCAAACCGAACCTTGTGTTGCTGACGTGGCTTGTTGGGAGTTCATCAATTGCGTTACTTTCACGTAGCCCAGTGCATGTTTACGTTCTTTTTGCGTCATGTCATGGGCCGTGCCTGGGATTCGATGTTGGGAATACTACTCGTAGAGCGTTCAAAGCCCGTTCGCAAACTGTTCGCATGTCGTACAATTTACGCAAAACTTCCGAAATCACCTTGTTGTTCTAAAAGCCGTTCTGGCGCTGAAAAACCGATCTGGTGCGCAGATTGTCAAACGAAAACATCATTTCTCCAACTGGTGCTGGAGAAAAAAAGGTTTTAGGGGCCTCGGGTAGGTTATTGGCTTTTCTAATTCTAATGGGGGGGCTGCGCCCCCCCCAACCCCCCCGCTTCTTTATCAGGCTGTTGTTCGGCTTTGTGTCCGTTGCTTGTAATCGCGCGCTCAGTACCCATCCAGCCAGCTCTCGTGTCGATCCACCTCCGCTCTGCCTCGCTGCCTTTGGCTCAGCTCCGGCTCCGGCCCGGCGACGCTCCGGCTCTCATCTGCTCAGCTCCGCTCCAGCACTCATCTGCATACCGGCTGCATCAAAAGTGCAGACAGAAGCGCATGCCACATGCACAGGAAAGACGAAGAAAGGCTGACAATTTCATAGGAATCATGCGTGGACAATGCATACAAACACCGCATATCGGGCACATACGGAGCCAGTGACCGTGGCTGCGGAGAAGCCACAAAGGTGGCGAAGCCAGTCGCTGTGGCGGAGCCGGAGACGCGCCAGTGGCCGTCCCGGAACATCACATTCGAAACAAACGTTTGCCTGGACCAAAAGACTGGTATAGAAACAAACGTTTTGGCGGACACAACAAACCTTCCTCCGAAACTTGAGTCTGCGTGCAATGAAACAAACTCACAGACCGAGTTCACGAAAGGATTGTTTTCAGCTCTGAAACAATAGTTTGTCCGAAAAGTATGTTTTGGTATGCGGAACTAACCTTCTACCTGTGAGTTTCCTTTCAGAGTTTCCCAGAAAACAAACAAACAAAACTCTGCGATGAAATGCTTGCTTTCCAAGTTTCCAAGGTAGCCATTCTAGGGTTTCCGAGAAGTTTCCCATGGCAAAACAAACGTTCACAGGAAACAAACCTTGCACACGGACGAAGTGTGTTCCTCTATTGGAAACGTTGGTTTCCGCATATGCGACAGAATGATATAAGCATGAGTTCGGAAAAAAAGGTTTGTTTTGTCCAGAGAAACAAAGGTTCCGTCGACGGCCATAAGTTTGTTTGTCCTGGCGAAACAAACTTTCTCAAAACTAACTAACTAGTGACTTGCTCCCATGTGAAAGTTGGCAGCCTCCAAAAGGAGAAAGGAACAGCAACCGAGTTTGGATACAACTTCCACTGCATCCTCACCCCTCTCAATAGCGTGACCCCAACACGAGCATTGATTTGCCGCCATTGTCGGGCAAATACATCATGTCCACTTCTTGCCAACCTTCCGCTAACCCTGAAGCAGCCTATTTGCTCAGTGGAAAAAAACAAGGTCTTAAAGTGATCTACCCAAAGCCAGGTGGAGCATCAAGAGGGCAGCTGCACATATTTTGTGCATGAATCTTAATGATGGTGGACAGCATCTAGGTGGCGATGTTTGTCCACCAACCGTTTTGGAGCTGGTTCCCTGCGGTTCCCTATTAAAAGGCATAGTTATTTGTGGCAGGGACCATCCCTAACCTTCAGCTGCCACGGTTTTGGTGGCTGCCAAGCCGGAGGAGGGAGCGAATCTGTCTTGGAAGGCCTGGAAAGCAAACATGGATCGCCTTTGCCAAATCCAATGAAACATCCAAAGGGGTGATTCGGCTAAAGACCAGCAAAAACACATCCCATACTCGCTAGCATGCAGGAGCCACCAAGAACTACAAGTGCCGCTGAACAGTTCCAAGGTGCGCCATTCGGCAGCAAAGCACCGAGGGGATCACGTAGAAGAAGTTCTGACCTCGGTTCTCTTTGGAGCCCAAACGCCCCAGCCGCCCATCAGACGGGTACGTGACGAAAGTTTGAAGGATGCCATTCGCTCCACTTGGATGCAGGCGAAATCGCGAAGTGTGAATTGAGCCCCAGTTTTAACCCCCCCATGCAAAGCCTCGGAAGGGTTACCGAGTATGCTAACACCAAGACAATGGGCCGTGTGAGGGCAATCTACGTGAGGAGGGAAGAAAAGCCCTCCCCACAAGTAAGGCAAGGTTGGCTCAAACAAACCCAGGTTCACCAAAGATGAAGAAGCACCTCTTCCAATACGCTTGAGGACCGCCCCGCGACCACTAAAACAAGTCTTGTTGGGAGGAGAGCAGCGTTCAGGTCCAATTCCATTTGTCTAATCTTGTCTTGCGGATACAAACAACTTGGAACTATCCCTTGCATTTGAGCGGTCCAAATGTCCACGCACAACCCCAGCCCCGGCTTGGATGTTCAACCTTAGTAAGTTTGCTACAACCACGGCTATATCGGTCAGCCAACGCCACGCCTATTTGATGACCATCTGATCACATGTTTCTTGCTTTTTTTGTCAACTGTTGCAAGTGAATCACTTTTTTCTTGCTTTTCAGTTTGCTCTTAATTTTCAGATTGCTATTTTCTTGCTCCAACCCTCACTCCCAAATCACTAAAAAGATATCTTAACCTCCCTCAACGGTTGGCTGGACGAAAACTCTTAAAACTAGGTTTTCCACATAGCAGTTCCTTTTCAGACAAAGAAAACATTATTGCAGAAAATCACCAAGTAAATGACCAACCCCAGTTACCCCAATAACCACCGACTTACCAACTAGGAGCTCCTTTGAGCCAAAGAAACCAGTGGTGGGAAAATCGCCAAGTAAATTCGACCAATTCCATTCACATCCATCCCATCCCGTCCAAAGGGCGCACGAAGGCGATGCGGTCCCCGGGCGCGAACTTCCCCACCCGGCACTGGAAGAACATGGTGACGCAGGACATCACCAAACCTGCGGGCGCAAGTCGAACAGCCCATGAGCTTATGGTGGCGGCGAGGAAAACACGCCTGGCTAGGTGTTGTTGTTTGAGAAAAGAGGAAAAAACATAAAATGGATTTGTTGAGAAAATATGTTGTGCAAAACCCACGAAATAGCACGCGGGCATGTGGATCCAAATGGCCGCCAAGAAACCGTCCGCCGCAATCAGCACGAACATGCCGTAGGGCCGTGTCACTGCCTGATGCACATGAGAATCGACACCTATTGTTCTGTTTTGACTGTCCCCCTACAAGACCCGAACCGGGTGTTTCTCAATATAGGGGTCCATTTTGAGAAACTCCCAACTACCCAAGCTTTTACTATGGCTCAGACGGTCCTGGCCACTTGACCATGCTTTAACCAGAAGGAGCAGCCAGGGCAAAGTGCTCCCTCGTTGCTGACCAACCTTGATTCAATTGGTAGTGCGGTAGTGACCCACAAAGAACGAAACTACAAAGGGGGGAGCCCAGAAACAGAAATGCTATATCTTGCAAAAGGGACCCAAAAAAGCATTGAGCAGCGCCAAAAAAGGTGACTGTTGGTTCTGCCATGCTGGTAAAGGCTTGCAAAGCCCTTGCCCAATGGAAGGCAACCGAGCCAGCCACAAGCTCAGCGACATTTTGAGAAACCTCCAGAGATTTGCCGCACCGAATTTCGATGGAACCAACCCAACATGGGTGGCTTCTTCTCGGAATCGGACCTCAACATGGCTTCGGTTTTCCTCTTTTCCTTAAAAACATACACACACACACACAAAAAAATGGAAAGACGGTAACTCCAAAGCCACTTCCCAGCCACCTACGTTTTTGGGCTCCGCGTTTGACACGTTCCACCCAGCCCAAACGGACATCGCCTTTTTTCGGCGAATCCGCGCGCCTGGAACAGCGCCAGGCTGGTGGCCCGCGAGGTGATCTCGGCCACCCGGAACACGAAGACCACGCAGAAGCCTCGAATTGTCCAAAGTCCAACAAACGGCTGCCGATTGGTTCTCCTCCCCCTTCGGAGCGATGTGTTTTCCGGAGGACAGAATATGTTCATGGGGGGACTTTCAGAGTAAACCAATGGAAAACTTGACCGTCAGTACATATGATCCACCCCGTATTTGCCCATGGCTCTGGAATATGCCCTCCAGCTTGTTCCCCTGGAAAACATGCGGCACCCGCCATTTAATTAGCAATCCCCTGGACAATGGTCGTGGGAATGACACGAAATCTATACCAAAGTGGATCATCCTGGAGGACTTTGTTTTGCAAGGCAATTGCCTTGGCCAGGCAGAGATATCTGTGAAACGAGTTCTGCAATGCCGGCCTGATCCCACCACGTCCAAAACGTCACCGCTGTGGATCAAAAAGCCAGCGTATGTTGGGTTTAAACGCCCGTCGCGCTTGTCCCATAAGTTTTTAAAGTCGTCATGCAGTGTCCATGTTGGTTCCCTCGGGCTGCCGTCCAAAGGCCATGATGGTGGTTCCAAAGTCACTCACAGACAACACAACAGAAGTGACTGGAAGTTGGAAACTTTGCTTTGCCGAACCGTGACAGCTTTGACGACCTGTGAAAGCTTTCCCGACCATGTTTTTGCTGCCACCCATTTAAATTGAAACAAACAACACGTCAACGGATGAAGAGAAGCGACTGAGAGTGAGAACAGTCCTCTGATCACTAACAATGTGGATGATGGATGCTTGAGCCAACCACTACTTAGATGGCCCAAGCCAACAAGGGGGTGAGTCGTAATTTGGGGGCACCGAAGTTTGGACTTCCATGTTGATTCAATCAGCTACACTCAACACAACAAACACACACATTTGAATCGGACTTGGGTCCGATACAAGTGCCGCCAACCACCAAAGCCGTGACATTCATCGGCATCCTTCCCCCCTGCAAAAAGGAGGAAACAGGGAATGAAGAAAAAGCAAAAGGGCCTTTAAGGGCAACAAGGCTACGCAAAAGTCTGGACATAAAATCAGGAACCCCACCACTCCCTTCACAGACCCCAAACCCCGACGGTTCAGGCTTCTTTCCGACAAAGGCTTGTCTAGCTTCTAACCTTTGGGTAGCCAAAATAGGGAGATACCAAGCATGGCTCCGGCTTCGGCTTTCCTTTTGATTTCCTTCCAAACCGACCAAAGGGTAACTCCCAAAACCCACGCCCGGCGAAACATCAGTGTCAAGGGGCGGCCGTTAAAGCTCTTGCAAAAGCCGGGGATCTTCACCAGCATCCGGCCCCCCTGGAACATATCCTCGAGAAGAGGCGTGAAAGCAGCAGCCATCCAAGGCACCGGTTTTTTTTGGCCAATTTGGCCAACGAGGGGAGGTTTGAGGTTTAAACTACCAGAAAGGGGAAATGTACATTTAGTTATTTAGCTCTTTGTTTGTAACTGGAGTCCCCCGATTGTGACATATACCCGTATTTCCCCTTGCAAAACCATCAAAAGGGGGACATAAGGAAACTGGTGGTAAAATGGTGAGGCGTTTGCTGTCCGATTGTCTTTTTGGTTGGGGGAAATTAGGTTTATGGGTTGTTAGTACCGTGAACTTCAGATGTGGTCACACTCAGGCTGACAAAATGCTGACCTCTCTTTGGGACGCCCCCCGCCCTTGAAAGGCAGTACAAAGGTCCGAAAAGGAGGCCCTATGTTCGGCAAGGCTTACATGATCGGCTAAGAAGTTTTTTGGGGCGAAGGAAGTACCAAGAGCAGCCGAAAAGCAGGGCAAACATCGCTTGAAGGAAAAGCATGTCCAATCGAAAAAGCGGGAAGAAGCTTCCAAAACTTAGCGCACCCACCGTTGCGGAAGATGAATGTTTGGGTTTTCCTGTTGGGTCTTTTTGTGTGCATGTGTGCTGCTGTTGAGCTTGTAATTTCGGCTGTGTCTATTGCTTTGCGCATCAAGTTCCATTAGACAACGCAGGCAGCAAAACAAGATACTCAGTGGTAAAGGAAATCAAAAGCCACACGACTCGTCACGGATGATCCCAAGCTTTGCGACAAAAGTGATCCGCGACCAAACATCTTAAGTAAAAGGTAAACCCATCTGCAAATCTTTGGGTATCTGGCTTCCTGAGAAGATTGGGCCAAACCATTCCGAACCTTTTGATTGCCACTAAATGGTACTCAAAGTACAACTTCCATGAGAGATATCCATGAATTCAGGGAGCGAGATATCCTGCCCTTTCCCAGGATCCTTCTTTCCAGGCAAACAATCCAACGGCGCAGCGAAAGAAGCACCCGAGGCAAACCCAACAGAATCCGCTCCGCCGGAAACGTGACACATTCCGCAAAAAATTGGCAAATCCAAGACCATGGTTCCGTTGGGTCAGGACATGTCCCGATGTTCCAAGCGAAGTCGTGAAGCAAGTATCGAAATCCATGTTCCAAAAAGTCAACCAAAGTCAAAGGCCACACCAAAGAGCCACCGAGACATGAGGAACTCAAGCATAACTGAAAGACTTCAAAACGGCGAATGGCATGGAGAAGAGTAGTTCCACTTGCTTCAACTCTCCAACTTTATCAAGCTTGCTCCAAAAACGGTAGCATGCTCCCTGGCAATCTCTAGCCTTGTGATTTGATTCTGGGTTTAGACGCTTTGAAGGTCCACAAAACCAAGTTCTGCGTCATGTGCCGCGACAGCCTGATAGAAATCGCCTCAACTGGCAAGGCTTCAAAGGCCGAGCGCTTTGAACCGAGGCCGCCGGACATGCCACAGGCCCCAGATGAAGCCAACTGCTGTTACCCCCGCTGACGACAGAGGGCAATTCCCCAAATATACAGGTAAGCCAACCACACAACATTGAAAGTTACAAGGCTTCCCTCGTTTCCTACTTGCAGCATCTCAGTGCATAGGGGACTCTGGAACATATTGGCTGTTCCCCTTCCCCTTTTAATCACCGTGAACGTGAGTGTGTCCTTCTCTAATTTGAGGACACTCCACTGAGGACGTGGCTCTGGCGAACCCACCCCACCCGCAACCCGCCCCTTTGGCAAGGCATCGATGGTGCTGAAGGCGTAGCCAATGGACACGAAGGACATGAAGACCGAGATGTAGAGCTGGCTCCTGAGATCCGTGTCCTTCCCCAAAGGTCCAGGTAGATTTCGGTTGGCCTCGCCCCATATAACCATATGAAGAGGAAAACGGGCCAAGGTGGGGCACCAAACAAAAATATGGGAAAAGGCTGCCACTGAACTGGGATATGTTGAAGGCCCAGAAGTCTCTTGGCTGGTGGTACCTGGTACAGAAGAATCGGAACCCTGCGTGCTCTAGACCCGAACGGATCCTCGAAGTTTGTTGATTCCCGCACAGTGAGCTGGGTCCCCTCTTAGATTGGACATCCCCCCATCAGGCGGATCCCAAATGGCAAATCGACTCGCAACATCGTGAGATGGACTTCTTGGCGAGGGTCGCCGAGGGTGAGCTTGTGCTCTTCGCTTCTAGGAAACCCACAAAAATCACCGCGACCAGAAACGCAGTTCTCCCAAAAAACGGGACCCAAGAACCCCCAACACGGACTCCCACCTAAAAAAACGCCCCCAACTGGACCCAAAAAAAACGCGGCGGGGGAGAAAAAAAAAGAAAGAAAAAACGGGTCCCCTTAGCGCCGTCGACAACCTCAGACGTCTCCTCTGTATCCAGGTGAGCTCGGTGAAGACCACCGCATAGGTCTGGATGAAGGACGAGAAGGAGGACTCCAGGATCGCCTCGATCGATCGCCGCCGGATGGAAAATCAGAGGGGGAGGTGGGCGTAAGACCCCATACAGCAGTGCTGGGGAACGAAAGCAAAAACCTCTTAGACAAAGTACTACTTCCAAGTGAACCTCTTGAACAAAAACCTCTTGAACAAAAACCTCTCTAATGGCTGGTGATCTACTTCAAAATTTCCGAAGAAAGAAAGGCACGAGATAATGAGAAATATCAAAGTGTCAAGCCCTGCTCCATTGAGATTGGCAATCAAAACGCAATGTGTTTTTGAACTAGAAAAGGCAAACTCTACCGCTTGAATGGCTTGACACAAATTCGCGTGAAGCATAACTCCAAGGATTATCCTGGAGTTTGCTTTTGCTGGCCTTTCATTTCCTAACTCATAGGATTGTGTATTTTTTGGGCAGCCCCCTTACAAACCCCTTCCCACAGAATCACTTGGGCCAAAACCAGCTAGATACAAGGGGATCTGTGTGAGATCTGTCAACCCTGTGACTAGCGGTCGGCATCCGAAGCTCCCGGAGATGCCTCTGCCAGAGTTGACACGAAGAGGAAGGGGTGCAGCTCGCCTCGCCACCTGAGCTCACTGGCATGGACACAACTCACTCCCGCGCGGCTTGATTTTTGCTCAGCGCAAAAGGGGAAGCTGTACTTAGATTTGGGAAGATGCCATCTTTCTTGCAAGTTCCCAAGTGTTTGTTTGTTTTTTTTCCCGAGAATTGGGTCGGTGGTGTGTCTTCTCTTTTTGAAAGGGGCTCGCTTCCTGATCAACAGGAACCAAGCCTCTGTCGACATGCCTCGAGATCCTTGGGTTAAAAATCCCAACGGCATGTGCCATCAAACCTATATCGGCACCCCTAGGGGTTGCCTGTTGCTCAAACATGTTCGAAGCGCTACTGCTCAAACTGGTTCCCTTTGTTCTGGCCGTTTCAATAAACACGACCAGATGAGTCTGTCCCAAAACAGGGAACCCCAAAAATGGTCTTCGGATTTTCTGTGGTGTCCCTTTTGAAGCCATCAACAAAGCCTCAAAAAAGACACAAACCCAAGTATGGAATCAGATCTGAGAGTTTCTCAAACATAGGGACCCCTTCAGGTAGTTCATGTCCTTTTGGTTGGCCGTTAAGACCATCCAACACGGGAATCCCCATTTGGAGAAACACCCATGCGTGTTTGTCTGTGCCCCTTTCGATCTAGCTTCAATTGAATTCCGACAAAAACCAACCCATCTTTGAGGTCCAACGCCCCATTTTAGCACGTACTCACAAGAGCCCATTTGCCAAAAGCTCGGGAGCCCTTCACGGTTTCCTTTCGCCTGCCTTGGGCCACTCCAAAAAAACCGCCTGGGGGGGGACTGTTTTCTGGCGCGCGAGAAAGCGGCAGGGACAGCAGGGCCAGGAAGGTCACGTGCTGGCCCAGCAGTGGCAGCGTGAGCCCCGAGAAGAAGATCTCCGTGCTGGTGATCTTGGAATTCGGCGCCGTGATCACCTGGTCTGTCGAGCGGATCGATCAAAAATGAGAGGTTTGTTTTTGGCACCCGCAAAAAAAAACTCAGGTGATACCCCCAACAGCATGCGGTGCTCTTTCTAGCGCTCACACCCCGCCCTCGCAGAACATCGTGGAACCTGGTGAAACCCTGGTGGAAGCCTGGTGGAACCCTGGTGGAACACTGGTGGAACCCTCGTGGAACCTTACGTCAGGGCCGCCCCGGACCACCCCGGAACCTACCTGGGCTGAAACCCCAAAGCTTTCAGCTGTTGGGAAGGAAAAAGAACGGATCCAAGACATGAGGCGTTTTTGGCACCCTAGATAAAGGGTCAAGGTAGGTCTTGGTGGTTGAGGGCGTCTCTGTTTTTTGGGCTTGGGGTTAAAGGGAGAAGAGGAAACCAAAGCCCTGGTGTTTTTCGTGTTTGTTCTCTCTTGTTATGTTTCTCTTTTTTTTTTTGGGGGGGGGGAGCGGGTGTGTCTTTTGTTGAGGGGCCTTTTTGGGATGGTTTTTTAACAAGGCGAACTGATGGATGGACCCGCTAAATGGATACCCTACTTAATGGGTTGAAACGGAGGCGTTAGCTGTATTACCCTTTGGTCTGGGGGAAATCACTGATACTTGCCTCTTAAATTCTTACCATGGGTTTTTGGGTTGAACCAAAACAAGATGATCTCGAAATAGAGGAACACCCAAGATTGACATCGGTTTTCGTCGTGGGCTCCCTTTAAACTTTAAACCAACCTAAGAAAGGGTACCGTCAAAGGGAAAATCCAGACTTAAATCGCATGTCAAACAAACTTCCCATTCGGTTTGGCTTCAAATTTCCCTTCCATGCGCAATCTATCTAAAGTTCAAAAATGTATAGTTACTATAGTTGCAACTGGGATCCCCTAGCTGGATGATCGACTTAGATTCAAATTCAACATGTCATAGATTTGGAAACATGCCCTGTCGTTGATGGCATTTTTGGCTGGTTCAACATGACTTACTGGCACAGCTTGGAATCGACGAGACAAACAATGACCCAGAATATCCATGCTGAATGGTTCTATATTGAATTGTGTGTTGTCTGACAAACAGGAGCACCAAACAATCCAATATTTTCAGACGCATAGCGCTGAGGCCATACACGCTCCAATCGCTTGGATTCTCAGGCACTGTGAAAAAATGGGCCTCAAGAACCAACACGAAACCAACCGCTTCATGCTTGAAGCCATCAACATGGCACTGGATTGTACCTTGGGTCTGGAACGGCTTTCTGCGGATCTGGATCTTTGGAGAAGAACTGCTCTATTGCTCCTGAGACCCAGGTGAAAGACTTCAATCCCACGAGTCACCATGTAGAACTCGTAGGCGGTCCACAGCAGGCCCAGGAAGACCCCCAAAAGGTTCCTGAGTCGTGGGCTGCTGGCACTGGCGCGAGGCTTCACGGAGCTCTCAGGGTGTGTGTGTGTGTGTGTCCAAAAAGGCGGCCGGTGAAAGATGGGGCTTCCATTTGGTTCTCCTGGAAACCAACCCTAACATGGCCACCTCAAAAAACAACAGAGCGAGAAGCACTAAGGAGCTTTGGCGTGCTCCTCGGCTTCTGGCTCTTTCTCCACGTTTCGACAGCAGGTCCGTTCATAACCAATCCAGAACAGAGATGCAAACATGGTTTGAGCCACGCCAAAGGCTTACGTATGTCTCGAAGCCGGACCAAACATGGGCTTGAGCTTTCCATCCCCCGAACACCTGACCCTCAAAACTCCAATGTGCCTTCTCCAACCCCAATGAAAGATTCCCTTCCCGCCCCACCCAAGCAAAAAAAACACGACCCCGAGCAGTTCCCAAAGACCCGGTTGCTCTGGTCGGACGGCACCGACGGCACCGACGGGATCCACCGATCCGAGGCGCAGGATGAAGAACCAGGGCTGCTTGTGCTGCAGGAAGATCCCCATGGCCTGGATGTCCATGCCCAGGTCCACCGTGTACCGCAGCCACATCATCACGATCACCTCGCTTGGAATGACCCGGAGGTAAGCCATCAAAATGGTGCGTTTCTTTTCTAGGGGAAAAAAGAAAAACAAAAAAAGCTTGCGCAGAGGGGCAAAAAAAAAGAAAACAAAACAAAAGAAGAAGAAACAGAAGAAGAAGAAGAAGAAAGAAAAAACGGAAGTGGGGGGGTGGGTGAAAGTGCAACCGGCGGCCCACAGTTCCCATCTCGCCTGGAAGCAGAAGAGGCTGTTGAGGCGCAAGCGCCAACACCTAGTGCTGACCCAAAGGGCTGCCCGCTTGATTTGGAGCCCGGTGCTTTTGAGGCCAAGGGGTGGTTTTCCGTTCCCCCTCAAGAACCCCACGGTCAAACCCCCAAACCACCAATGCCAACCACCAAATCAGGACTACCTGAAAAGGGCCCGGAAAACTCGCGAAATGTACTTCGCAATTTGTTGACCACCTCAATGGCCAAAACACCCCTATAATGCATTAGCTGGAGTGATCTGGAGTTGCTTCATTACCTTCTTCTACTTCCCTAGTGTTGGCTGAGAACCTTGTCCAAGGGATTTGGACACCTGATCTGCAAAACCTCACACACACACACACACACACGCCAACCAACCAGCTACTTGCCACACTGCGGCAAAACTCCTGGTGGTGACTCCCGGATGCTGGATGTCTTAAGGAACCTCCCTTCATCCATGGTCCAGCTTTTGACTCAACGGCAGGAACCCACTCTGGGGGCCGCGACCAAAAAGAAGACTGCTCTATAAATGAATAGGTTTTTCATTGGGTTCTGTGACAGTTTGCAGGACTCAAGGCTTTAGAACCGGAACTATGTTGACGAGAGGTTGACCTTCTGCTGGCAGGGCATCTTCTTGCAAAGTTGTCCAACCCCACTGAGGACAACATGCGAACTGCCGCAAAAACTTCGTACATGTCATCAAGCTGGTGAAGAATCAGCATCCATCGGCTTTCCATCTAGCTGATCGCTCCTGGATTCAAATCGTCCTGCGACCAAATTGTCAAGCTAAGTGATCATGCCATACCGTACTTGTCTGCAAATTGTGCAATTCCAAAACCTGAAATTAGGGATCGCCGAGTACAGGACCTACATCACGGGAGCTTGCCTTTAAAACACCCAGGTGAGCTCACAAAAAAACAAAAACAAAAAAGATCGATGATCACTGCTTTCGAGGGCATTCATGCGCCGGGCATCAAAAGCAACCACACAAAATCATTCGCACTCCATCAATCGCTCTGATAAACACCACGTGAGTTTTTGTGCCAAGAAGTGCCGAGAGTCAGGAGTGCCCTTCGCAAAGGCCACCTTTTACACCAGCTCCTACCTCCAAAACCGTGGAGTTGCAAAAGAGCCAGCAAAGGGCCTTGAGGCGAGTTGAGAAGGAGTGGCCTTGAAGAGTCTCGGGTCTTTGGGCGGCTTGATTTTGGCTTTGGGGCCCGACCCGGCTGGTCAAGTTCCCCGCGCCTCAGCACGAAGGTGGTCCCAGCCTCAGAGCTCCAGACTCCGTTTCAGGATCCGAAAGGAAACTCAGTTCAACAAAGCAATCACAAGAACAAAAAGAAATCATGGGGAGACTGGTGCTCGCCATTTGCCGCGGCCAGATTCATTTCCAGTGTATTCGGCTTGTTTCAGCCAGGCTGATGCTGAGCTTCGGATGCTCGAGGTGTTTCTTCAGCCAAAAAGGTGCTACCACAAAGTCCTTGACCCGAGATGCCAAAGACTCGAAGTTGAAGCGTGTACACCCTCCAATCAACGGAAGCTGACGATCGGAGGGGGTTGGAAGCCCCATGTCCACCTCTACGATTCGGGGGGGGGGGGGGAATAGATCTTCAGACCAAAGGCTGGGGGCAGTTGCTTCACTCAGCCTGGTGCAGGCGCCGCAACCCCTTTTCGTTCGCGAAAGGGTTGGTATGAGCAAGAAGTAGTGGTTGAAATCAAGGAAGATGGTGGAAAATCGGCTTACCAGACTGTTGATCTGTTTAATAGAAAACTACTTCAGCGGTTGTCTTGTTTGCTGGGCAAGTCCAATGTCTACAATTGTGTTGTGTTTGTTCCTGGATCGAACCCCTTGGTTTTGACAGGGGGTCTCGCATTTTGTTCGGGATTCTGGATCCCTTTTGGAGGGACCCACCACCCTTGAATCCAGGGTGATAAATCCGGGGTCGACATTGGATCAGTGATGTCAGCCCACACGCAGGGAAATGAGAAAGGGAAACCAAACTTGCGGTTTAACACGTGTTG